CAAACCTGCACACACAAACACAACATACATTATATTTATAAAAAACATATTTCTAATGATGATATAAGGCTGTGAATGCGGATGGAACCGTAATGATTCATGAAAATAATGATTAAGACGCGGGTAGGTTTGGAGGCAATTAAATAATTTTTTTTAGCAATAAATCATGCATTCATCCGTGCAAATATTGAATCAGGTGAGCGAGCAGGGAGTTTTTTCATGCTGCTAATTTTTAATGTTTTATTTGTATGTTGGTTTTTGTATGTGTTTGTATGAACGTTCAATGAGTTGTTTATGTGTTGCTTGTTAAATTCTTTTATTTAATTAGTTGTTTGTTTATTTTCTAAAGATTTGTTCATTTATTTGTTTATTTTCATATTTCAGACTTCATCACAATCACCCCAAGATGTTTGAGATGGTTTTTTTTTCTATCTGCGAGCAAAAAATTTCCCCACAAGCAAACACGACGTGGACTTGTATTTTCATGCTTCAATTGGCTTATTGCACGTTTTAGAAACGCGTGCCTACACAATGGAAAAATAAAAAAAGCTCCATAAACACACATTCAAGTCTTCATTTATTACGTTTTAGACATGTGTGTGTGTGTGTGTGTGTGTGTGATTGTGTGTGTGAGTATGCATGTGTGTGTGTGTGTATGTGTGTGTGTGCGCGTAGGGTGAATATATGTATATATGATACATAAAATATATCTGCTCATTTATGTCATGTGTTATATATGTTATATAAATATACCAAATGCAAGCAAAAGGACATATAGTATGTGTGAGTAATTGTGTGTGTGTGTGTGTGTGTGTATGTGTGTGGTGAGGTGAATATATGTATATATGTATATATGTATATATATATATATATATATATATATATAAATTCTTTATATATATATATATATATATATATACCAAATGCAAGCATAAGGACAGGCCTGTTAATAATCACTAATTGAGATAAATGGCTTCAATATGTATTGGTCCAACGAAGGCCAAGAACATCATTGTGCTGTTGATGATGATGATGATGATGATGTTGTTGATGATGATGATGTTATTGATGATGATGATGTTGTTGATGATGATGATGTTGATGATGATGTTGAGGTTGATGATGATGTTGTTCTTGTTAATGATGATGATGTTGTTGTTCTTGTTAATGATGATGTTGTTGTTCTTGTTAATGATGATGATGTTGTTATTGATGATGATTATGTTGATGATTATGTTGATGATGAAGAATGTGATGGTGATGACAATGATGATACTTTACTGTATACAAGTGCAGTAGTTGCCATAGTCAACAAGTTTGGTCTGTATTGTCACGAGTATGCTGACGACATACAAACATGTGCCTCAAGTTACTCGTCTGAGTTAGATGCATTAACGAAGTCAGTGAATGGTTGGGTAAGAATTGATTGAAGGCAAACGAAACAAAAGCTCAGTTCATGCTTGTTGTGACCTGGCAGCAACTATCTCTAGTTAAGGAAAACTCTGTATGCTTGTGCAAGACTGACATCCGATTTTCTGATGCGGTCTCAAAAAGGGTTTCATCTTCAACAAGCACTGGACGATGGATGAACATGTTACGTATTTAGTCAGAAATGCTCGTTTTAACTACGTCAGTTACGTTCAATTAAAAAAAGCCTTGATTAAAATGGTCTACGATTGTTGTTGCAAGCACTGATTATTGATACATCCAGACTGGACCACTGTAATAGTCTCCCGTATAGAATATCAGATGAACGCCGTAAAAATTGCAACTTGTACAGAACCAGGCGGCAAAGCTAATCATGGGTGGAATGAAATTTGATCACGCTTCTTCGATTTTGAAATCTCGACACTGGCTTCCTCTCAGAGAAAGAATTTCGTTCAAACTTGAAATTTTAGTTTTCAAATGTGTGAGCAATCTTGCGCCTGAATACTTAGCAAACAAATGTAACAGAGCTTCAAAGATTCGTTTTCATCGCAGTTTAAGGCCATCAGATACGAACACTCTACACGTTACGAAGATTAATTTGAAAAGAGCTGGAAGAGGTTTTGAAGTTGCTGGATCGACATTTTGGAACAGCTTGCCGAATGATGTAAGACAACCTGATTTGACACTTGCAGAACTCAAAAAGTTGAAGACGTATATGTTAAAGAATTTTTGCAAGTAACCTAATGATCCTGATTAATGTGCACCATTGTGAATTCTGAATTATAATTGGCGCTATATAAATGTTGATAATAATAATAATGATAACAATGATGATGATGATGATGATTACAATGATGTAGGTTAAGTTGTTGTTGATTTTGATGGTGACCCTGACGATGATGTTGTTGATAACGATATTTTGATATGCTTCTACCAAATAATTATATATAAAAATAGACAATTATGTTGATAATAATAACAACTAAGACGATGCTATTGCTTTGATAAGGATGATAATAAAGAGTGAATATGTTTATCTTTATGGCCATTTTAAAACAATCCTAACCAAACTCCAATGGGCATGATGATGATGGTGGTGTTGATGTTGATGATGGTGATGATGAGGATAGGAATGGTGATGATAAAGATGATGATGATGAGGGTGATGACTCCTCTTCAATTCACATCACGTTCAACATTCATCATCACCTCCAATCAGAAGAACACAGACCTACGAGACACGAGCATGTCAAGCGCACGCACATACTCGCACACAAACGGATAAGAATGATTTTTCAAGCTGGTTCCAGTGTACTCTTTCTATTTTCAAAGAAAGATATAAAGGCAGCCCCTCTGAAATTGTTAAGCATTGTTTTCCCTGCAAATGTCAGAAAGTATTTGATAAAATAATACCATTGCTTCCGGCTATCTTAAACATTCAAAAGTAATGTCGACTTCATTGTGCCTTGCAACAGCAAGCTCGGTGATTAGTTTTTTCAACATCGTCTTGAGTAGGCAGAAAATCTTGAAGTTAGCGCAGGATCTGAGATCACTCGTATCAGCGTTGAAATCTTCACAAAATTGTTTGTTATTCGCTTGAGTAGTTTGTCAGTAGAGCGATAGAGAATGTAGCTGATTTTTTTCCCCTTCATATTATTGATATAATGACTCTACAAAGTTGGAGCATTGATGGTGACAACGTAGCGGGAGTAGGCGAGTTTGAAACTGAACAGTTTGGAATTCCTTGAAACCTCCTCCAAGAATCCTATTTTCAGTTCAAGTTTTTTTTAATTTCTAGAATAGAATAGACATTTCAGCTAACAAATTGACCCCACATTAAATAATTTTCTCATAGAGGATGCAACAATGTCAGGTTAATAGTGAGCTAACCCTAGATAAGCATTTATTGCTAGGCTGACTCTTTCACTTTTTTTTGTGAATAAATGGAATTAAAAAAAAACTCCAAAGCAAAACATATGTACTTACATAAATACATACATATATTGATACATAATACATCCATATACACACATCCATCGTATAATTATTTGTACATGGACACACAAAAAACATGCAAAGATACAAGCAAACATACAAAACTCCTCATACAAACGCAAGACATTCATTTCAAAATACTTCCATTTGATTGTCGGTCATTAACTTGTCGTTAGTCTAATTGATGCTAATGAAGGTTCACTGTTTTATTACTTGAAAATGGCAAAAACTAACTTTTCTAATTTAAATAATATTTCTCGTAAATCTTTATTTTTGTACTTCACTTACTTTTTACAAATTAAAAAAAATGTACCTTCTAACTCCTTGGTGTCCTGTTAAAGTAACATTTAAGTTTTATTCATTTCGTTATTGAATTAATTGTTTAAGTCATGATTTCTTGGTTTAAAGAGCTATACAAAAAATTTATGAAGACAGGTTTGGTATCAATGACCAAATGAAAATTCGTTGAGTTTTGTCGGTTATGCCGTTCTAAATTATTAAATTAGTGATGATATTGATGATGAAATCGGTGATACGATGATGGTGATGAAGAAGATGATGATAACGATTGCAATGATGGTGATGATGAAGATGATGATGATAACGATGATGAGGATGATAAAAAAGATGTATCGTTTGTGTTGAAAACGGTGATAACAACAATGATAACAAAGACGACGACGACGATGATGGTTGTGATGATGGTCGCAATCAACCAATGGCATATTCTCCAAGTGGGGCATGATGTTTTGATTATCTTGACCGTGACGATGCGTTTGATTCATTCCTCTAGCCACTGTCCAAACAATAATATTGCGAGTGTTGTCAATTTTCATGATGAAATAATTATGTAAGTAGTGATGTTATATAATGATGATGATGATAGTTAGGGTGATGATGGTGATAATGATGATGATGATAATGATGGTGATGATGACAATGATGGTGGTGATGATGATGATAATGATGGTGATGATGATGATAATGATGGTGATGATGATGATGATGATGATAACAGTTATAGTGATGATGATAGTAATGATCGTGACGATGATGGTGATGATGATGATAATTATAGTGATGATGATAACGGTTACGGTGATGATGATGATAATGATCGTGACGATGATGATAATATTATTTAGAGTGATAGCATTACAGATAATATGAAACAATTTAATAAAAGTGAGTAATTTATTACCACAAACCAAAATAGTAACATATAAAGGAAAATTGTTCATTAATCATCTTATCGTATCGTATCGTATCATATCATATCATATATCATATCATATCATATATCAAATCATATCATCAATTTTATCTTCGCAACCTGATTCTGCAAATTATCTTGCGTTTGAATGTTTGACATGAAGTTTTAAACATATTTTGATGTGTTGTTTGTAGAAATGGTACAACCGACTAACCGTCCAACCAACAAACCATCCATCTGACCAACCAAACAACCGACCAATCAATCAACCAACTAACCAATCAATCAGCCAACCAACCATCTAACCAACCATCTAACCAGCCAACCAACTAACTAATCATCCAATCAACAAACCACACATCAGATTCTACTGGGACTTCATAATGTTGATCTTCCTGATAGCCAACCTGATCAGCTTGCCAGTGACCATCACCTTTTTCCACGACGACCTTCCCAACACCTGGATCACCTTCAATGCTGTCTCTGACACCATCTTTCTCATGGACCTCATCATCAACTTCCGGACTGGCTAGTAGTTGTTGATGTTACTGTTGATATTGTTGATGTTGTTGTCGTTGTTGTTGTCATTGTTGATGTCGTTGTCGTTGTTTTTGTCGTTGTTGTTGTTGTTGTTGTCGCGATGTTGTTGTTGGATGAGGATGATGTAGATAATAGGATGACGATAACATTAATGATGAAGCTGAGGGCTAGGAAAGTGCAATGACGATTAGAGGAATGATGATTGTGGTGGCGAAGATGATGATGAAATTGACCATGATGTTTTTGAGGTGATCGAAAAATAAAACTATATCAATGAAAATCACCCAGACCAGCTTTTTAGTTAAGCCGCTAACGTGAAAATATTATCATCAATTGAAAGAAAAAATAATGGTCATATACCACCGGCATATTGTATGTAAGATTGTTATAACCTTAATTTTTAGCAGGGTGAATCTGTTTTCATGAAATCATCTGATTTATAATAACGAAATTGCAGCTAAGTGTTTAAAAAAGAGATTTAAAAGTGTGAACGTTCAAAGTTCAACAAGTAGCAGACAAATTTAAAAACATCAAAGGCATCGATCGATATTTTTGCTACAAGACAACTTGTGTAATATTATTTCACGCCGAAGTACATAAAGCTTCATTTTAGCCATAATGTTGACTGTTTCAAATATTGATGAATTTTTTGAAAAAAAAATAAAATTAAAGGCTGTGTATCTGAAATTTAATTTAAATTTAAACTAAAAAAACCAATTATAAGTTGCCTAAGCAACACTTAATGAAATCATCTAACATAAATCCCAAAAATGAATTTATTAACTTCAAGTTATATTGCTGTAACGAGTCACATCTAGAATTGAAGCCCTTAGAAGCACAGCAATTTAAAAATTTTCATCTCGGTCAAGACAAAATGATCAAATCCACACAACACACTCAAATATAATTCAAACAAAATAATATTATCAAAGTGTATGCATCAAAAATTGTTGTGTAGATACAGAAAGTCTCGAAATAAACTTTAAATAGTCGTTCGACATCACATACCTCGTCACGAATCAGAAAAATATATCGCAGCAGAACAATATGAAGCATTTCTGTGCTGCTCATTATTATATTGAGTTCCAAACAATTTAACATGCCAACATGCCATGAAACCATACTGAACGCTTTTTGAAAAAATGCCCCAAAAATATTATAAAACTGTAAAAATCGATGGACTAGAGTGCAAACAGTGGCATGTGATTCAGTGAAACGTCATTCAAATTAATTAGGAGCCCTGCAAACAAACTGGAACGTGAACATGAACAGTTGAGTTTGTTCGAATGCTAAGCTGTTTATCACGCGACATTGCCAGAAAAACAATTTGTTTCTACTCAAACAATATTCATGAATAGGCAGATTAAAAAATACGACAAAAATGTATTGTAGTTTTATGCAACACAAAATACAATAAAAATAAAGTTTTGTGCAGCTCAGAACGATACAAATCTGGCATACAAATGATCTAGAGAATAAAAGGCTTATGTGTTAATGAAATAACGCTACAACAGAAAACATTTGAAATGTTCAAACAAATTTCAAATCGTTCACAGCACCTGTCAATGTTACTACTGTTACTGTTAGCTACAGTGGCTACTACTACTACTTCACCTACTTTATTACTTCTACTACCGCGTACTTTTACAATTCTTGCTGTTTTAGCTATCACTACTGTTTCACTACTACTACTACTATTACTACTACTACTACTACAGCTACTACAACAACAACAACCACTACTACTACTACAACACAACAACAACAACAACTATTACTACTACTACTGCTACTACTACTGCTACTACTACTACTACTATTACTGCTGTTGCTGCTACTGCTACTGCAACTAGTAATATAATGATTTTAATACTTTCATTTTTGCTACAACTCAAATCGTCACTCATTGCAACAAAGATTATGAACACTGTCACGACTACTACATCTTCTTTAAAATGAATTGCTGGAGGCAGAATAAAATAAATCACCTGTCTTATACGCCAGCCCCTTCTTTCTTTCTCTCTCTCTCTCTCTCTCTCTCTCTCTCTCTCTCCTCTCTTTTTTTATCTTGTTCTTTTGACTATTTCGTCATTTTTTTACACTTTTGTTTTTATCGCTCTTTTGTCTTTCCACTTTCAATAAGACTTTCAATAAGACGAAAACAAGTGACAATGTAAAAACCAACGTGTTTGTGTGGCGTCGCTGTGGTGGTTTCGACACTGGCTACCTAAGTTTTTTATTCATTAGGTTTTACTTATTCAATGGGTGACTACTTTTTCATACTCATGGCAAGTATTGACGATGAATTAAATGTTAAGTAATTATTGCTTAATTAATAAAATAGTTAAGTGACACAGAGAGAGAGAGAGAGAGAGTGTGTGTGTATGTGTGTGTATGTGTGTGTATGTGTGTGGGTAAGTAACAAGTGCATACCTGAGAATAAAATTAGAATTAGACGGTACATCTTTGATTTATGAATTCACTTTTACACGTTTTTCAATTTATAGTTTTTGCTGGGTTATGCTAAAAATATAAAGTCAGTGTGTGCGTGGTTTTATATAGTTGAAAATTTTTTCTCCTATTCGTATTTTTACAATTTTTTTTGAAAATATGTGAAAAAATTTATTTTTTTTTAATTTATTTAAATTTAATTAAAATTTCGTTCTTTTTATCCTTGTTACTTAATTTTTAAATTAAAAATTAACTTCTTGTGCCACGATGTGTGTAGAAACTAGAAAGGAAACTGTCTTTTTAAATTTGATTCCACGAATGAAGCCCTGGAAAGTTTTAAAGAAAAGATGAAAGTCCAGAATGGAAGTATTGATAAATTAAACACCTTTGAAGTAGGAAACCCGACAGCTATCAAGCAAGGGTTTATTTAAACATCTTTTAAATGTGGGAAAATAAACTTATTTGTTTTTTTTAAATTTTGAAACCTCTCGTGAAATGTTAAATATTTTATTCTAATATACGAATTAATTTGTTACATTTAATTTTAATTAAATTGTTATAATAATTGAATTCAGTGAAGGTTTGTTTGAAGGAGACTATTTTTATAGAAAAACCAACACAAATACATTAATAATGCGCGTGTGCGTGTGCAGAATCAAATTTTTTCACACGCACACACAAACGCACGCACACAGTGAAACACACACACACACAGTGAAACACACGCACACAGTGAAACACACACACACAGTAAAAACACACGCACAAATGAAATAACACACACGCTTGATTGCACACACCAACAAGCACACACAACCAGTCAACTAATCATTTCCCGGAATTGTTTCTGAGCGGTGCGGACACGTTCACTTAGTTTGTTATGAACATTATAAATATTTTAGTTTTTGTTTTCCTACTTGAAAAATAGAAATTGTACAAAATTCCCCTTAAGCAAAAATGCAAGTGTATTTGGTTTATGTTGAAGATAGGTCATTTGCCGAAAATGTTCACCAGTGTTTCAGTATGACGACAATTCTTTCTAACGCTGTATTTATGATGAAATCTTTATTAAAAAGATGCAAAAAGTTGAGACAGGATTTTTGGCCATGAGCAAACGCCTAGGGTGGATTCGTCATTAATTGGTATGAATTTATTCATTACGCGTACAATTAGACGTATGCAGAAAATGTATGCATATTTGTATGCATAGGAAGCTTACTCGTGTACATGTGCAAACACTTGCGTTGGTCTGGATATACAGACATGTTGATGTACAAATTGTAGGCTTCCAGTTTGTCGTTCTGAGAGATGATAAAATACGCTGTTGAATGCAGATGTCGATGGATATGTTATAAAAGAGAAGAGTTTGTTGAATCGCATTTTTGACATGCCCGGCACAAAGTTACATTTATTTTTCGTTCTGCAATACTTTCAATGCTATGACGTAAATTTTTATGAAATTTAGTTGCACACTAATTTGTTGCACAAAAGAGTTGCTTATTAAATTTATTATACAAACGACGCACAGGCATCCACAAAATTTGTTATAAAGAGTTTTTCTTCAAACACACATAAAGAAGAGTTCTTCTTCAAACACACATAAAGAAGCCAATTGGTGAGCATGCAAACAGAGGAAAACTTCCTAATTACGCAGATTAGCGTGCTGGTTTTTTACTAAACTTCATATTGTAAAACATTGACACAAAACATTTTTGTATAACGTCTACTTGGAATGAGTTTTACATTGAAATTATAGTTATGATTTATAAATGTTTTTATTTTCATATTTAAAATTTCTGACGGCTGATAAAATGTTGAATTGAATTTTACTCCCAACATTCATAAGAAATAAAGTTTATCAATGACATCGGGTTTACTTGTCCCATGAATGTCCGAGCTCTGATGCTTATATTACTTCTGAATATGAATTTGATACAACTGTTCTTAAATGTGCTTGACTTTAAAATAACATTTAATTTCAATTGCTGATTCAATTGTAAAACATAATACAACAAAGGAAAAATATTTTTTGTTAAAAGTCCGCTCTAATCACAAAAACACAAAAGTTGAACGCAAGACTAAAAAATAAATATGCATATATACACCAACATCAACTGTCACAAATGTATCCATGCATAGCCAACCAGATGAATAATGTCCTTCAAAAGTTATCACAATAACTCTCGCCTATAAATCATACACCTCTGATTCAACATGTGTCGAACGGTTAACGTTTCTTACATACATGTTTTATTCATAAATAAATAGGATAGTTTTCTGCTGTTTTAATGAATTTCTACCTACATACATCTGTAACGTAATTTAAAAAAATTGTTTGATTTTTGGTTTTAATGATCTCCGGATTCATCACTAACATAGTTGCCAGTTTTTTAAATAATTTTTTATTTATTTTTCCCTCATTATATTAAAGATTTTTGGCAATCTTTTTCTGTTATTATATTTTGTAGCGTTTCATCCTCTATAGCTTCTGGCATAGAACGATAAACATTGCAGACAGCAAACCTCGCAATGAAATTTTAAGGAAGCAAGCTTTTAAACTAAGCAAACTATGATCGATTGCTGAACAGCGAACTAAATTTGTGCTTCAAGGGATTTCAAAACTGTCAGTGCAGGCTTCGTAGTATTTGTGAAGTAGTTTCGAACGTGATATGATGAAGAGGCAGCTCGCCGGACATGAGCACGTTTGCACAAGTCCATCATTTCAAACCCTCACCTGTCAACTCTTTCAATCACTCACACACAACCACGAAAGAAACTCATTCGAACGAATTACTAACAGATGAATAACACGTTAGCTCGCATAAACATACTAAATACACGATGGTATACACTAGTTGGTATCTTCTTACATGATCACCATAAACACGTTCACATAAATGTATACACATACAGGCATGCACATACATAAATTAAAGGTTCATTCATGGGCACCGTCTAACACGTACAACATTATTCATACCACCCCGTACCTACTGAAACCTACATAATAACACAAACAATCAAACACACACATCCAGCATCACTAACACAACAACAAATTATTTCACAGGCATAATTGCAGACAATTTCGCCGACGAAATCATTTTAGAGCCACATCACATCGCGGTGCACTACCTGAAGACCTGGTTCCTCCTCGATTTCCTCAGCTCCATTCCACTCGACCACGTCATCGTTCTCTTCACACCAGATGCTGAAGGGATCAGTCAGATCATACACGCAGGTCTGTAGTCTGTCTGTTGTCTGTCTGTCGTCTGTCTGTTGTCTGTCTGTCGTCTGTCTGTTGTCTGTCTGGTGTTTGTCTGGAGTGTTTTTATGCTATTGTACTTTATTGTACGATTATTATTGAATTTAAAATTGGTGGGGCGTCAAACGTGTTTGTGCATATCCAATTACCATATTCACGTTTTCTTCCAAGTATTTTTAGAATAATTTTCGTGATAACTAGAACTTTCAACACGAAAAGACAGCAAAAGTGAGCTAACCTTAACCAGCACTGAATGTGTAAACGAACGAACGATTACCAAAACATTGACTAGCTTACTGTAACATTATTAACTATCTACTGTAATATTTTGAACACTTTACTAATTTAATAAGTCGCCACGAGGACTGACTTTTTGTGTGCTGAAGTTCCCTGAAATACAAAAACGATCAGGTTTGTGATTGAAATGAACGACGACAACTGTTCCATTATCAACTGGATTCTTGAATAATTTTCCACATTGGAAGATGTTGTAAGTAATTTCGATTTCATCCAATGTGTCAAATAAACAAAAAAAAGTTTCTCCTGCTTTTCCATTTGTGTTCACTTTTCGTTGCCAAATTTTCAGTTTAAAAATCAACTAACAAAGTTTTTCATTTTTCATTACAAAAATTTATGAGAAATATGTTCGTTTGAAAGTTATACAAATACAATACAAATATACAGCATTGAAACAAAGAGTGGTATGTAGTTCCAGTTCTCAATTTGTTTCATGTTCATTATTGCCTGTTGATAGATTCCATCATTTTCTAGTGCCTGCATAATTTGTGGATGTTTGTTTCTTTTTACGTGGGGCACTTTCAATATGCCCTCTTGGTCCTCTGACTGGTGGCACAAGGGGTTCTGGGGTGGCATCAAACAGTTGCTCCCATCTACTGATCCTCGTTGCTGTCTTTTTCAACAGAATCTCTGTCATCAGTGCAGTACTTTTTAAGTTTGATTTCTGGGCTCCTAGCTTGTCTGCAGTAGCGCTTTTAATTTTTTCAAAATTTCGTTGATTTAAAAAACAAAAAATCAAACGCCTCTATGTTGTTGTTATTGTTGTTGTTTGGATTGTTGTTGCTTGAGATGTTTTTGGTAACATCTTCATCAACGCTTCTTTTTTGGTTATTGCTATCCACCGCGGTGTTTTGAAATAAACCTAAGAGATACGGCAACATCAGATTGAATATAACATTCATAGTAATCCACCTCTTATATACAAAAATCTGACAAAGACATTAACTTGTTTAATACAATACAATACAATATTTTTATTCGACCTCAAAGAAAAATAAAGGTACAGGACTACTGTAGAGAGTCTTTAAGAGACTCATCGTGCACAGTAACCTTAATAAAAAATAATCCAAATTAACAAGTAAATGTAATGTCATCAAGAGAAAAAGTAAAAATTTTAACAAATATGATAATGATTGTTGATCAGTTGAAAATTTTTAAGTTAACAAGAATGTTAAATAGAATAGAATCATTTGGAACTTAGTCACATTCGAAATTGTTTGTACATAAATACCCAATAAATAAACAAACAAACGTAATGTAATCATATACATATATACAAAATAAACAAAAGCTTACATATTGTGGTTTAGATATATAATCCCAAAACATGCGTGAGTACATGTTACATGCATCATCGTACAATAGATATCGAGAATTAAAAATACTAAACAATAGACTTACGGTATAATACAATTCAGACATTAAACAAGATAAATACAATGTCATAACTCATTTGTTCATACCCATTCATTCCCATATATGCACATATGCAAAAACCACCAACCCATATTCATACTCACACATACCCATTCATATACACATGTTTACACAGCCTGACCCATACGACCACATACGTACACACTTGAAGCCATTCATATCCACACACACCACACTCAAACAAAACCACCACTCGTCAGTCTTTACACAAACCCATACTTGTACATTATTACCCGTACATGCATTATCATGCCCACATATGCATAATCACATACATTCGTCTCCACATGCACACACATATATACTCATCCACAAGCAAATACCGTGAGCTTCGGATTGACATACAATGACAGCCAAAGATTATCTAGTGTATACATTTGCACACATGCATTTAATTTAATCACCCATTAATCAACAAGTGTGACTTCAATGATTTCCTGAAATTGTTCATAGATGTGAGGTCTATTGAAAAACCTTTGGATACCAAGCCATTCCATACCCTCGGTCCACTATAGTTTACGTGAGAAAATACATATCATCATAAAACTCGAATGAAAGTAACGTTGGTTAATAAAGCCAGATTGTTCTCACAGATGGCACATGATTCGTTGATTACGATGGTCAGTAATAAATTAATTAACAATTGATATCCTTGTATAACTTTCATTTGCAACACATCACGATTGCGCGGCTCAATTCACAGTAATGAGAGTAATAAATCATTTCCTTTTAAAATTCGTCATCAAAGCATATAAATAGGCTTTAAATGAAGTTTTCATCAAATAATTTGAGATTACAATTTTTACGTACAACTTCTAGCAATTCTTTTTTTCGTCACAAACTTGGCTAAATTTTGATTAATGATGATTACATTATTGGCATTTGATGGACGATGATATCATTGAATGATATCAATAGTAATGCTGATAACGATGATGATATCAGTCTTAATGATGACAATATACTGCTTCCGCTTCGACAGTTGCTGATAACATTTCTGATAAAAAGATGATAACAACAACGAAAATGATGCTACGGCCGGCGATGAAAATGATGACAACAACTTATGAAAATGAATGGTGAAACTCTTCTCCATCCCCATGGTTTTGCTGACGGCCTTCAATGTCCAACGGTCGTTTCTATCAGATCGCCGTGATATCACTGTGTGGTCATCTTTAATAAGATTACAATCTGCACGGCCAAATTGTTTTTCGTTTTATTGCCTTCGTCATATACACAGTGTATATATACATCACACGTGTATGTGTCATATACAAATTTTCCATATTTCTTGTAACAGATTCTCTGTTTCTGTCAGATTCTGATTTTTTTTTAAGAAAGTTCAATATAAATAATAAAAATAATGAGAACAGTCTTTTATTTGCATCATGAAATAAAACGTACGTGAATTAGAAAGAAACATTAAAAGTGAATGGTCATTAAATTTAGTTTGAGTTAATAATTCAGTGAGTAAAATATAATCACTAAAATTCATACAGTAATGAAATGGAGTTACTGATAATAAAACTTTTTGCTCGTTGCATAACGCAAGCACGAAAAAGTTTAAAAGCATCAAAGAATGTTATAGATTATTACGTTCACAGTAGATATTGTACGATTGAGTTATTGCTGTTAAAATCAACTTATTTAAAAACGAATCTGACCATATTATGTTAATTAATTGTAAGTTAAATTTATTAAAAAGTCCCATTGGAGATATTTCAATTGTTTTATGAATTATTTTATAATGCTTGAAATTGTCTTTGAGGTTGGTCTTGAGCTTGTCTTTGTATTTGTTGATTTTATACTCATAATAATAATAATAATATGGCGACGCAAAGAGGCCTGTCGCTGAAGATGCTGCAGTGGCCGGGTTCGAATACACCAAAAATCCTCAAATGCACATGCAATGTGTGTGAAGTAACCGTTGCTTCACGTGCAGTTACGGGAACTGCATGCTTCTTATTGATGGCAATGAGCAGAGAATAGTACTGAATTGAAATTAGTAAAAAAGGCACCCTAATTTTCTACTCGTCATAATTGGGTTTTTTAATTTTACTTCTCAATAGTGTGCGGATAGAGTAACATTAATCACAATTGTAGCTATTACAATCTTCATTACATATATATCATAACATATATACCATTACATATATCATCATACCATATATATCATAACATATATACCATTACATATACCATCATACCATATATATCATAACATATATATCATTACATATATATTATAACATATGTATCATTATATATATCATCATAACATTATCACAAAAAACGAAAAACCATATTACCGCTGCCGTCATCAAAATTTGCCACAATCATTATCACAACCGTCACCACAATCATCATCATAATCTTCATCACAATCATCACGTCACAATCATCATCACAACCTTCATCCCATTACCTCAACGATCATCATCACGTCATATTCAACATCACAATCATCACCTTCCATTCAGTTTCTTCCACTTGTTATTCTTGAAGCATTATTCTTAATTGGTTTAATTGTCAATCTGGGACCAGTTCCGAACATTTCCGTTGCATTTGTCCACATCATCGTCGTCTTCATCATCATCATTTGGTAGTAATCATCATCATCGTCGTCTTCATCATCTTTGACATTATTGTCACATCACTTTCATCATTCTTCTTCATCATCGACTTCTTCATCAGTAAATTTTAGCTTAATTCCACTACTTTTTCCACCTTCTGACATGTTATGCTAATGGCATTTAAATTTTTTTTTTTAAAAGCTAATTAAACTGGAAAGTTTCAACACTACGAAACGACGTTCGCGAATTTATTTTGACACTTTCGAGTCCTAAATAGACTAGCTAGTTTAACGTAGAGTATTTAATATGTATTTATTCTTTAAAATTTTTTAAATTTGTAACAATGTTAACATTCAAAGAGTTTGTTTTTAATGATGAAACTAGTTTAAAAGAAATTTAGCAGCTCAGTTCGCTTGATCCACTGGAATAGGCCATTTATCCACTTCAATATCAAGTTTAAACCTCTGCGTAATCTCTGCAAAGAGTCCAATAGATTGCCACATGAGAATAACATAAATGTAGAAAATGTGATCATTTCAATAAAATATATTTATCTTATTATTTTGTTTTTTTGAATGGTAGACATCAATATTGTCAATCCAAATTTGATTCGATTATGATACTGAAAGCGCGATTTAAAATGTTTATGCTTAATAAAACAACTCAAGTTGTTTTTTGTGAATCGAGGTTTTTAAAATTAGCATCCAATCACAAAACAGGCCGCGCTCTCAGATTCTTCCGATTGGTCAAGCTGCTCAGCTTGCTTAAGCTGCTACGGCTCTCCAGATTGGTCAGATATGTTAGCCAATGGGAAGAAGTCAGTTTAGTTGCATTGCTAGTATTTTAAAATGTTTTAGTTACTATTTCCGTGCGACATTCAGTTTAAATTTAGAATGATTTTAAGTAATATAAAGCAACAATAGCTGGAAAGTCATGTCAGATACGAATGAAAACATTACAAACAACATCAAAACATATATCAGTGACCGAACATAACACCATCATCATCAAACATTGACAACAACAACCTTACAAAACAACAACCTTACAAAAATAACATCAACGGCATTCACATCAACGTGAACCACAACAACATCAGCAACAACAGCCACAACAACAACAAACAGTTCATCTCAGTAGCAGGGAAGTTCATCCGCATCTTCAACCTCATATCATTCATCCTCCTCTTGGGACACTGGAATGGATGTCTTCAGTGGCTGGTCCCCATGCTTCAAGACTTCCCGAGCAACAGTTGGCCGGCTTTGGAAGAACTCCAGGTTAGTGCAGACACATTTCATGCACATCAGCAACACACTAACGGGATTATGCTTAAGTTAACACACAAACACACACACACACGCACACATATACACATACAACACATACACACACACATAAAACACATACACACACATTAGACGCATCATAAACAGCGGCAAAAACAGCACCAACAACTCTTTGGAAGACAAAACTCAATTCAACACAAACACAATACAAACATCGTCCTTATTTTTTAGTTCATTATTCATTTGTTCATTCATATGCTCTTCAAGTAATGCTGTTTATTACGTACATGATAATTTCATTTACTCTTATGCAACTTTTGAGCGTGGTTGTAGTGTTATATCATATAATAATAATAATAATAATAAGAAGAAGAAGAAATAATAATAATAAATAATAATAATAATAGTAATAATTCAGAAACAATGATGCTTGTAAGTGCTGAACCATTCAAAAAAAAAAAAATAAAAATAAACATTGCGATGGCGTGCAACTACTTTTACCAGGCATCATTCATTTCAAACCAGCCCCATAACTCCGGTTGTACGCAATACGAGTATTTATTTTTTGTACACAAGTTAGCACAAATAATGTACGTAAAAACGTACCTATGTAAATGTCAACCTACATTAGTACCTTACCTTAGAAACATCATCAGCGTCAGTGGCATTTTTTCTTATTACATTCATCATCAGTAACATATATTTTCAATTATCATCGTTATATTCATCATCCTTATCGTCACCATCATGGTTGCTATAGTTCCTCCCCAGAAGTCAGAAACCAACACACACAAAAACACAAACACACAAAACACGCTCAATTAAACAGAGAAACACACAAAAAACTCACAAAATCACTAATATAGATATAGACAAGAAAGCACACAAACCTGAAAACATACAAAAACGTATTAATTGTCGCAAACAAACATACAAAAAAATAGATATTGAAAACACAAACACAAACAAAAAGCATACAAACACAAACACACAAAAGTTAAATCCCGCAATAAAAACAAACATACGAACGAACGATCAACACACGAACGAAAGAACGAACGAACAAACAAACAAACATTGCCTGCATTGAAATGTTTGATTGACAACCTTCTTTGTGTTCAACAAATTGAGACGTGCATCTTTAATAACAACAATAATAATAACATAACAACAACAATAATAATGATAACAACGTAAACAATAATAATAATAATAAAATTAAAAATAACAAACCAATCCTCTCGGAACTACGTTTAATAGAAACAATAATCTGGATGATACTAACAATATTGCAGTAATGATGAGACACATGTTGAGAGCTTGTACGATATTAATGCAAATAGATTAAAAATAACAAAAACAACAAAAAAATTATATTTTTCTCTTAAACGCAACGAACATTGATTTTGCTCAAAATTTTGAGACAACAATGTTTCAATTTTTTTTCTTTGTTTTGTTTCTGACACAAATATCGCAACTCTGTGCTGGACAGTAAACATTGTTTCAAGTACCAGAGATGCTTTGCATCATCTCTTTTTTGTTCAGATTTCTCACTCTCATCATCATCGTGTACCTACAAAATCATCATCAACGTCATAAGCATCGTCATCATCACCGTTATCATCGTCATCCTTTTAAACATCATGGTCATTCTTTGTTATCAACTGTGACATCATAATGATGAACGGAGATCTTTTCTCGTCGTTGTTAATTTTATTACACCATCGTCGTCTTCGTCAACGTCAACCGATCACAATATATGATGACGTCACGACCATCAACACCATCACTGCTATCATTATTATATTCATAGTAATGTAATCAGCATGGTGAAATCGCTGCCATCATAACTTCCATCAGCATTTCACCATTGTGGCTTGCAGAAGGAAGGATCATTTCCACAAAAAATCTTATGAATTGAATTAAAAGACAATCTTTATCATATTGTTTTCGAGTGAGTGTGTATGTATAAAAGTTACTCCTAAAACATCTACTATCAATAATGTTGAAATTCCTATGTCCTGTGGCTTGCTACCACCATCCAACACCGCGATTCTCGACTGCAACTTCTACTAAAACTGCCATTGCTGACTGAACTTGGTAGAAAACTCACTACCGCAAATATTAACACCATCGTTAAACTACTATTAACATCATCAAAGTAGCCACTATTTTCACTGCTATCGCTACTTCTAAAGTTACTACTATTGCTACAACGGTTGCCACTACGTTTTGCGGTTACTACTGAGGCTGCTTCTAGTACTGCTGCTACTACAGTTGTTGCGGCTGCTATGGCTGCTAATAATACTGCTGCTGCTACTACAACACTTACAACTACCGTTACTAATTCTATTATATAAGCGGTAGAAATTACTTGCACTGAGCGTGTGGAGGCATTTATGATGTCAATAAATGATTCTAATTGCCTCCTCTCATTGCGTTCGTTTTAATATACAAAACACTCAATGCAATGCAACTGCTGTTACGCACATCACAATTCATGTAGCAATTCCGTCCCATTTCTTGCGTGCAAACGTAAATTACATACGTATATATATATATACACACAATATTGTTCGTTTTTTAGATTTTTCTCACCAAAAATATTATATATATATATATATATATATATATATATATATATATATATATATATATATATATATATATATATATATAAATACTTACAGTGGGAGATCTAGGGGGCCGGGGGGCTATGGATCTCCCGTTGAAGGCAGTATTTGGATTAAAAGTCTGTAAAACTGAGTTTTTCCACAGACAAAGCACCATTTTATGTCAAAAAAGGTCGCCAGTTTAATTTTGGCCTCCGTCAAATTTTGAAAACTTTTAAACATTTTCAAAATTTTGGCCCCCCTTCACTGTTGTCTAGATCCGCCACTGCAAACACACATATAAAACTCACCTACAAGATAAACAAATACAAACACCCGTGTACTTAAACGCATACAAACACACATAATACAGCACATACAAACACTCCCAAAATCATTAAAATTACACACACACATATATTCAACACTTAGCACACTCACACTCATATACACACATACACGCATATGCATTCTGCCAAGAGAGGTCACGAACTAATTGGTACGTGTTTGAAATACACTTGAATTAAAGTGTAACATTAGGTCAACATTAACATAATTCATTTTTATCAATTACCATTTCGAAAGTGTACGTGTTCTTTCATTGAAGCGAACTTGAAACTATGTAATATAAACAACTGATTACTTGTAGTTACTGAAATAGTTAATCAAAGGTTTGTGACCTATAATTTTTACAAGTTTTTTGCAATTTCAATGTTGTAATAATAAATCCACTTGGTTCTGGCAAATGAACATATTTAGCCATCTAATTATATATAATTTGATAATTCGAAACCTCTCTTACTAAATTAAAATCATTATACATATAATACATACACATTGTGTATATTTCAGAAAATTTTTTTGCCAAGCTAATTATCACATGCGCTTTGAAAAAAATAGCAAGTTTGACCAACCGGGTCATCCTTATTTGTGAAATTTTCGTCGACCATATGACCAAATTGGTTAATGTCGTTGGAACCATCTTCCCCCGACGCTCCATTTTCTACTTCTCCTGATCCATTATGACAAATAATTGGTTTGTTTCTAACTCTTCTACTAAGGAAAGACCGCCTCTCACGGACAAACCACTTAGGTTTGAAGTCTTTATCTGAACCAAATTCATGTTCAATTTTCATTTTACGTTTGTATTTTCTATGAAACTGTATTGAAAATGAATTCATTTTTTCCGATTTCAGATCTGTGAGCTTGTTGTAAGTCAGCTATTTTATTCCAGCACTCATCCATACAATTTCTATCACGATGATCTATATCATCATTGTCTCTGAGACAAGGCCTATCTCTGTATAAATCAATCAACCGAAAGATATCCTCTTTCAACCAATACTTCACTTTTGCTGGAGCAGCATATTAAACTGGGCATTAACCAAGATTATTCTGACAGTTTAGTAGGTACTTTGCCAAATGTTAGCATATAAACATTCCAATCTAAGTCCAATTACTGATTCTTGTGTTTATACCAGAGCCCTAACATTAGATTCAGAAAATTTAAATCATTTGGAAATTCCGACTTATATGTAAAAACAGAATTCCTAGTTTCTGTGAATATTAAAATTTAATGTAATTATTAACTATCACCAACGAGCTTTATAAAATGAGATTTGTATAATACACTTACAATTCAGTAATTGTATATACTAAATTTTACGCTGAATACCTCTTAAAGTTTAATTCTACTGATTACAACCCCGAAGTTGTTTCACGGTTATATCGGATGTCCGTTGTATGCAATTTATTATTTTATGTATAAGTTTGTAATAAAAATTTTTTCAAACTTTAAAAACTTCATAACATATTTTCTTTACGATAATTTTTGCCACACGGAAACGCGGACTTTAGTTGTTTGTGCTTCAAGAACTTTTTCACAGACTGACGTATATGATTCGAAAATTTATATTTGTCCATTATAAAATTACAGGTCCATTAACGCAGAAACTGGAGCAACTTGTTTAGAATTGAAATAACCTAAACATTACAAATTTCTAAACTAATATTATTATTTGGTCTCTACTATGCCGCAAATAACATAATAAATTTATAATTGTTCACACACACATACACACACAGACACATACAAACACATAAGTAATGTATATGAACATATACACGTTGATACAAATACTCGTGTAAGGAATGATTGATGCCAGTTTCGAGTCTGAACATTCGTACAGGTGGAGTGAATGGTTGGTGCATATCATCCCAGTTCTGTTCTGAAATCGAACTTAAATGAAAAACGAACAATTGAATTGAAAATAAATGACAAAGGAATAAAGAATAACAAAATGAATAAATGATGAACCAATTTGAAATAAAAGATGGAGAGATGAAATTTTGATGATGATGAATATGCAATGATGAACGAGCACATCTCTTGATGGACATCAGTGATAACAGAATGAATAATGTTTCTACCTATCTTGCTGCTGCTGCTGTTGCTATCAGCCACCACGATGATGATGATGAATTCAGTGGTGACGATGATCCATGACGTCAAATGTCACTGATGGTATCAATAGTAGCATTGTTATAATCGTCATCACCATAAAAAAAACCTCATTATCGTGTTGTATCAAATAATCTTTGTATTATATTGTATTGTATAATGATGGTTACAGTTGAGGATGACGTCATGATGATGTGGATGACGATGTTACGTATTTATAACATGATGACCGTGATTTTATTTTTTGGACCGCCTGTAAACAGCCGTAGCGCTATGCGGATTTTTTCTATATAAAAAGTTGAAAATTTGACAGTGATGTCAATCATTGATGTTCCTAATGGAGATGAAGTTGACGACGACGGTGCTGATGATCATGATAACAATGATGGTTGGTGATGATGAAAATTTTGTTTTTTATTGTGATAATAAAATGATTTCAAAACTTAATGGAAGAAGAAAATGATGATGTTAATACTGTTATTGTTGATAACGATGATAATAATGTTTTTAATCATGATGACGACAAAGATGAGGATAATAAGAATAGGATTTTCCAACTTTTAATGTATAGAAATGACTAGATGTCTGGAGGCATCATTATGTAACAACAACTTGGGTGCGCTTTCCAAGTGGAAAAAATCCTATTAAATTGTCTTTTATTTTGTCACATTAGCATTTTGACAGATACTTGGTTTTTTTTTGTTTGATTGAATATAAAAGTGATTTGATTTGTAAATCCCGACCGTCAACACCTGTTCACAGTTTAAAAATGATTTCATCACTATAATCAACAGCATCCTCTTTCTTAATCATCGTCACAATCATTTGTAAACAACAGATTATGATTGATTGATAATGTAGAAGTAATTGTTTAATTAAAATAAATTTGCAATTATCGTTTTAATGACAAATTAAATTCAAAATATTTATAAATAAATAGAAACATTAAATTTTATAAAATTTAATTCAAGTAAACATTAAAAATTCGTTATAATGGACACTGAATAAAAATTGAAAAAAAATAATAAGCGGGTAATAAAAACCATAAAAGTTATAAATTGAAAAAATGAAAAAAAATTGCCACAAAAAAAATTTGAAAAATTCGTTTTTCCTGAAAAATATGAATCAAAAACATTTTAATTTAGTTAATTGTTACTGAATAATTCAAATAAATTATATATTGAATTAAAATTTTTATTTGTTTTTATTTTTTGTTGTTAATAAAAGATTTCATAAAAAAAACCTATCAATAATTATAACTAGGAAGAATGCGGGAAAACAAATCCATCGATTGTAGCTGACACGAAGGTGGCAACTTCACACGCGTGAACTGTTTCTGGGGGGGGGAGTGATGGTGATTATGATGATGACGACAATGGGGGTTGGGATGACGACGGTGGTTGACGATGAAGATGATGGTGTCGTTAGGTAGGATGATGATGATGTTGAGAATGATGGTGATGTTGTTGATCAAAAAGATGATGTTGTTGTTGTGATGATGATGACGATGATTACGATTACAATGATAATGTTGATGAATATTTACATTTTTTCAGTTTTTTCTTTAAACAAAATCACCATAGTCATAATCAAGAGTGTCGTTATCATCATCACAACTATTTTTATCGTCTTCCTCATCATCACCATTGTGGTTATCAATGTGATATAATCAAACATCAAACAAACCTCAAACATAGTAATAATAATAACCATCATCTAGGGAGAACCCGTTGTGAGCAGTTTTTATTAAAAGTGAAAAATGAACCGTTTTAGTTAGAAAATCATCGACCAAATTTTTGACGTGACAAGACAAAAAACGTCGTCAACCATCCTACCACAACTTTCAGCCTTCCCGTAATAATCTGAACATTTAAAAAATTTTGTCTCTTCCGTCAAAGTTGTCTAGATCCGCCAATACAATCTACATCACATTCTGCATCACATTCTACATAACATTCTACATCACATTCTAAATAACATTCTACATCACATTCTAAATAACATTCTACATCAAATTCTGCATCACATTCTACATGATATGTTTCATTCTATATTACTCACTCCTGCAGGGTCATCATCAACTTGATGAATTTATTTTTCTTCTTCACGAACCATTTTTCCATCTGCCGTTTTTTTTTGGTTTTTCGAAATTACTTTTTCCCTGTTTTACTTAGTTTTTTTTATATTTTCATTTATTTCTAATAGTTTTCATGATTTGATTTATTTCCTGTAACTTTCAATTATATAACGTTATGTGTATCCATGCAAGTACGGAAACATAAACCCACACCACACACACAGACACAGACAGACACTCACACAGAGGCACAATTTTTAAAAAGTAACATGCCATCAACGAAAGTCGAAGTGTAAAAATAATAATAGCTCTACATCACTATGAAATAAAATCATGAACCAAAAATGGGGATGACAAAATTCCTTTAAAAAAAATCCACATTTTAAATCTGTAGCAATTACAATGGATTTGAAAACTAGAAAATTAGTCATGTGATTGAATAGTAAAATTGAAAAGCACCGTAGAATATAATCTAAATAAATGACAACCACAATCTTCTAAATATATTGACGTGTGTATAAATTTAACTTTATCGCTAAAATTTACAAATCCAAGAAATTACGTTAAAAATATTAGTTAATTGTGGAATGAAAGGGATAAGTAGAGAGTTGTGTGACTAAACTGTGTTGAAAGAAGTAAAACGATACAACTACAAACTGGCCAGTGTTAGTTAAATCGACGACCATCACTTTTACTGCCTGATCACTACATTAACTGACTGACCATCGCATTAACTGACTGACCATTACATTAACTGACTGACCATCACATTAACTGACTGACCATTACTTTATTTAGGAAAAGAAAGACGATTTGAGTAATCCAAATTTAGAATTTGGTGAAGCGCTAAACAGAAAAAAAATTAGGAGAAAATAAACCAAGCAGCACGTACTGCTGGCCCAGAGCATGATCTTACTGTGGTGAACGCATTTGCACTTATTTGGTAATAAATATATCGCTGGACGTCGTGTGCCGCTGATGCTGATGCTGAGGGTGATGATGAAAATGTTGTTGTTGAGTTGTTGATGGGGATGAAAATGTTGTTGGTGATGATGAGGTCGGTATTGTTTTGTTGATGGTGATGATGACGGCGTTGTTGTTTTTCATGATGATGATGACCATATAGTTGTTGCTGATGAAGAAGTTGTTGTTTATGATAATGATGAAGACGATGTTGTGGTTGTTGATGATGACGATTGAATGATGACGATGTAATTGATGATATGAGATGAGGAAAGTTAGTGAGGCTGATGGTGAAACGTTTTGAAGCACTACAACTAAAAGGAAAGCTAACTGCATGTGTGTTTGTGTATGCATGTGTGTGTGTGTGTGTGTGTGTACATTCATGTATGTATGTGTGTGTATCTATGTTTATGTAAGTTGTGTGCGTGTGTGTGCGTGTGTAGAGTATGGTGTAGGTTGCAATAAAAAATGAAACCCCCCACTCAACAAAACGGCATCATTAAGAATGAATGGTCCTTCAAAAATGCTGGAGTGTAATGCAACAAAATGCTACTGAAAATTGTAGTGCTGTAGATGGCGAAGCTGATGGAGCTGGAGGAAATGGTGAAGATGCTAAAGATGATGAAGATGAATGGTTGAGATGAAGAAGATGACGAAACTGATAAAGATGGTGAAGATGATGGTTTTGTTAGAAATGCTGAAAGAGTAGTTCAAAAATGAAAATCCAAATTAAACTATAGAAATAATAATAATAGCTGCAATGAAAGTATGAGTTTTTTTTGTATCTAAAATGAATAATCTCTTTGTCGTTTGTATGATGAAATTGTAGTTGTCATTAGCGATTATTAATGTTAACGGCAAAGTCCAGAAAATAAAAAATTGTTGACAAATAATAATGGAGATAATTTTTCATTTTTTTTTTATTGCAACGAAGACCATGCTTCATATCTGTTGAGTAGTCACATATAGGACTTAAACCTTTTATAATACATACAATAAACAGTTTTATACAGTGTTATATGAATTCTACAGAATTGTTGGCATTTATCAGTTTAAAGCTTGTGTTTTCAGTTTTCCTTATTAGAATTTTCTGGAAATTGTTTAATTTATTGAAAATAAACTTCAAATTGATTAATGCCAACAATTCGGTAGAATTCATACAATACTATATAAAATATGACCTCCTTCCAACAATAATACAATTTCAATATATGATAGTTAGACATACTTAGCTTAATATCAAGATGATAGACGAGAACATCACTTTTGTTCGTTAATGAAGTAACTTTCATTGAGCAATGTTTGGTTTGGTTTTGGCTGATTCTCATTTTATTGCTTAAAACTTGATTAATTTGAAATTTGTTTTTTAAAAATGTTTTTTAAAAATTAAAAATGTTTTTTTTTTATGTTTTTTTATAATCCATTTTTATGTCCCACGACAGCTCAATTTATTATTATTAGAATAAATTTCTCAATTAATTTTTCATTTTTATTAAAAACATTTTTATAAATATAGAAACATTTTCTGTTTTACTAAATTTTTAGAGAATAATTGACAACCCGAACCTCACTAAACCATCTTCAGAACGTGCACTGGTTGGAGCAGTACACCTGGTCACTCTTCAAGGCTCTCTCACACATGCTCTGCATTGGCTTCGGCAGGTTTCCACCGCAGAGTTCCACCGACGTCTGGCTGACCATGGTCAGTTTGAATTTGCTTTATATTTGATGAGGATTAATTATTCTTATGTTTTGCATTTGTGATTTGAGTCCAAACTGTGTTTTTAATGATGAAGTCAGAGTCGTTCGTAACAACCACCAATGCAATTATTTGTTCAAAAATTGTCCACAACAATCAAGCAACTTTCCAATGATCAACTTAAATGGCAAGCTACATAGGCATATGTTCACGATAATTAACTCTTATGTTTTACAACCATTTCCGACATGACAAATTAAAAAAAATTGTTTCTAATCTATCTCCATTCGAAACATTTAAACAAAACAATACAATAACCAATTAATTTAAAAATTTAACCAGGTGAGCATGTTGACTGGAGCGACCTGTTATGCCCTGTTTGTGGGGCACTCCACGACCATCATCCAATCTTTCGACACTGCCAAACGACTCTACAGAGAGAAGGTGAGATCAATACACGGTAAATGAAGGTGTCTTGTGTTGTTAGTTAATTGTGGACCGTAAACTCCAATGACGGTTTTTATTATCTAAATTCATTAGAAACAATTTTTTTATATAAAAGTTTATATAAAATATAAATAAAATATACGTGCAAATAAATTTATAGGAAATAAGTATTCGATAAAAAGTAAGAATAAAATACTGTAGCAAGATTAAAACTTTATGATAAAAGGGGGGCAAAACAAGGAAATAAGATACGCAAGCAGATACGCAGACACAGTGCCAAGTACACACTCCACGTGCCGGCACGCATGTTTGCAAAAATTTGAACATCGAAAAATCTTTACTGGCAAAAACATTCTAGCAAGAATAGTTAATGACATGAAGGACTGGAATTCTTTCATAATGCTTCTCTCAAAAGCACTCACGAATCGTTAAAACTAACATCCACTGACATGCAAGCAGAAATATACATACAGATTCAAACACAGAGACACACACACGCACGCACACACACACACGCCACTTACACATTCATTTTTTCCACTAGTTCAAACAGGTAGAAGAATATATGATGTACAGGAAGACCCCGAAACATTTGAGACAAAAAATCACCGACTATTACCAACACAGGTTTCTTATTTTTACATTCATCTAACCATTCGTTCTTTGTTTAATCATTCGTTCGTTTGTTTGGTTATTAGCCATTCATTCATTCGTTCGTTCGTTCGTTCGTTCGTTCGTTCGTTCGTTCGTTCGTTCGTTCATTCATTATTTCATTCATTTATTCATTCATCCATTTATTTATTTATTTATTTAGTGAGCTCATTTGTTTATTCAGATCCTCAAATTATTTAAAACTTAAGTAACATAAAAGGAGAAAAAATTTTTTTTTCATTAAATATATATATATATATATATATATATATATATATATATATATATATATATATATATACATATAACACTGGAAAATGTCTGGGTAGCAACTTAAATAGATTTCTGAGTTTCAACAACTCCAACGAAAACATTAATTTACATCTTTTATTTAAAATCCACAAACAATGAAGCAAACATGTACACGCATACATAACAGGCACAGAAACAAACACGCGTATATGTGCATACACACACGCACATAACAGGTATATAACCATAAAACATGTACCTTACCTCCATACATATTGTTATAAATGGCCGGTCGCCGAAGTTGTTTTATCCCCGATGGAAAATGTCATCACGATGTGACTTTTAAACTATCTTTTAATTTACAGATCGATAATCAATGTTAATCAATAATCAACATTATTTAACCTTACTAATGTTATTTTTCAGAAACTATCGCTTCCCGAATAACAATTCACTAACTTTTATCGCAAATAAGACAACACTTTCAACGCAGAGCCAAATAACCTATACGACACTAACAACAACGAACGCTTTCAAATCTTCAATGCCACTCCCCGTCTCGATATCTCGCACGTCTTATCGACCTTCACGAACGTACTGAAACGAACTCGTTGTCAGAGGGTTCCAGTTCCTCCTCGAACTCGGTGCATTCGCAGTGACACTAGCGTTCCTAGCGAATACATTTGCGACTGTCACGACTATATTACATTTCAAATGAAAAGTTTTCTTCGTATTTGCCCTTTAAATTTTTCCGACAAATGGTATAACATCGTTGGTTGGTGTGGGTAACTTAGGCGGGGAAGTCAAAGTTTGATGGGGGGCCGTCAACATGCTTTTGAAGAGCACGTGTGTGCATGCGTGCGTGCGTTTGCCTGCGTGTGTGTGCGTGCCTGTTTGAAATGTATATCAATACGCAAATGTTTTTTCTTCGTCTTTTCTTTATCTATTATAAAACGCTGATCAATACTAATCAGTTAGATATCGGATTATTGCGCGTGTTTCCGTGAAACACCTATTCATTATGAAAATAATTCTTCCCTTATGACGTTGCGAAATAAAATTCTAGAACGAATTTTTTTTTCTGGAAATGTTTTATTTTCAAATCTGCGAAGTGTTCATTAACGTTTCTTGGCGTTCGTTGCTCTGTATTTACAGTACAATTTCTTGTTTTTGTCTATTCTTGTTATCTTGCAAATTTTATTTGCCTATTTGATCATTGTTTCAACTTTTCTCCCTTTCTACTACCTTAAATTTTACTAATTTTTTTCTGTTTTTTGTTTCATTTTTTTAATTTTTTTCAGTTTTCTGAGTTAATAATTTCCCAATCATTTCATCAGTCAGCTCGATTTAATCATGCATGGTTATCAATATTTCGATCCATTGTTGTTGCCTCATCTATCGATCATTCTAGCGAATCATTTTTCCGTTATTCCATTAACTCTCTTTCATTTCAGTTTTTAATCATTCAACTTTTATTCATCAATTCAAAAATTCATTTGTCAATGCACGTTCCCATTAATTTATTCGTTCATTCATTCATGTATACATTCATCAGTTACCAACCGATCCTTCATCCAACTATTCATCCGCAGAACTACCATCTACTATATATCCAGCTACCATCCATTCAATGATCAATTCATTCATCCACTCATCCATAATCCATCTTTCCATCCATTTTATTCATTTTTCAACATTCATAAATCCAACAATCTTTGACATCCATCCATCTATCCATCCATACATTCACGCATCCATTCATCTACACATTCACACATAAATTCATCCACACACACACACACACACACACACACACACACACACACACACACACACACAACACACACATTCACACACATCCATTTTATACATGCATTAGGTACAGAGGCAAGATGTTTGACGAGAAGAGCATCTTATCTGAAGTAAATGAATGCTTAAGAGAGGTGGTCATCTTAGCTTTTATTCTTCTTATTTTTTTATTTGGACCATTATTGATGTTATTGTTGTATTTCTTTTATTATTATTTTTTTTGTTGTTATTATTTGTATGATTATTGTTATTATTATCTATGCATATTTTTATTAATATAAATGTTCGAGAATGTTCGAATTTATTTTTCATCGTCATCGTCGTCGTCATCATCATCGCCATTTTTATCATCATCACTTTTACCATTACCGTAATCGTCATCAACAGAAAGTCGTCTTCATCACATTATCACCACAACATCACAAATCAATTCCTTCATCTTATCACCATCATTCTAGTTTCATCATCATCCCACCATCATCTTTCCGTCACCATTGCATCATCTTTATTCATTCATCATCCCATCATCATCATCCAATTTTCATCCCACCATCTACATACCACCACCATCATCCCATCACCATAATCATCCCATCACCATCATCATTCCATCATCATCCCATCACCATAATCATCCCATCACCATCATCTTCCCATCACCATCATCTTCCTATCACCATCATCATTCCATCACCATCCCATCACCATCATCATCCCATCACTATCATCATTCCATCTGACAGGACATCATCAACTACAATTGCAGATCTCTGGTAGCTGCTGTGCCCTTCTTCACCCACGCCGATCCAAACTTCGTCACTGACGTCGTCACCAAACTGGAATACGAAGTATACTTTATTTTAATTTCTTTTTCAGATAAATTATTTGGCAAACCATATTTTTCGCTTTTTTTATTTTTCAAATTTACTATTAAATCAAAATTTTCTCTTTAATTAATGTTAATTCTTTTTAAGTATTTTTTATATTAATTCAATTACGTAAATTAAAATTATATTTTTTTGAATTAAAATCGTTATAAATAAATAAATCATTATAAATTTACCATAATTTTATTATATTTTTTTACTTTTTGAGTGTTCATTGAACACTTTATGAAAATTGTTTGAATAAGAAGACTAAGACTATTCAGCACTATCATTTTCCGTAAAATTTGTTTAATTCAAAAAGGTAGTTTTTGGTAGAAAGAATATTCATTAATGTTAACGACCGCTTCTGCATTTGCATTCAATCTGGCTTTCATGAAAACCCAATTTTAGTAACTTTTAAAACTCTATTGCAAAGGCCCTGCGCTATAATGAAGTCTTTGTCTTTTCCATTGGAAACAAAAGTTTAAAAAGTTACACTTTTTCTTCATGTTTATTTTTTTAACTGATTCAGTGTTTATATTTGAAATATTTTGCAAACCTAGGTGTATCAGCCGGGCGATTACGTGATAAAAGAGAGCACAATAGGCACTAAGATGTACTTCATTCAGGAAGGCATTGTGGACATCGTAACGAAGGATGGAGATGTGGCCACAAGTCTCTCTGACGGCAGCTACTTTGGAGGTTCTTTACTGAATTTTTTTATGCTGTTTAAGCTCTTTTATAAAGAAAGCATACAGATTATTTTTATTTATTCCATTGAGTTATCCGTAGTTGGCATTTAGTTTTCGCGTTTGTTTTACCATTTAGAGAATTGAATGGTTTTTTCGCTGGTCGATAAAAACTAGCTGATTGTTAAAGTAGTTTAAGTTATTGGAAACCGTTGCTTTAATGACTCTTGAATCAGCATCTCTCCAGATGTTCAATCAGCAGTAGGCTATTGAACTTCACGCAAAGTTTTTGCATTTTTGAATATGTTGGGATTAAATTGAAAATATTCCAAGTGTTAATTTACTTATTTTAGTCGTCCTTCCAAGAACCGATTAAGAGCTCAGCAGCTTTTAAAATTATCCTAACTCCCTCCTCTAACAGTTTCATAAAGTCGGCACCTCTGCTCAATACGCATACATTGTGCAATTGCAGTTATTGCAGTTTTCATGTTTAATGATCGACTTTTTTATCAAATCATTCACGGAGGAGTTTTACTTTTTTTAAAATGCGTCTCTAAACTAAAGCGTGGGTACATTTAAACCAAACAACAGCGTACAACTAGTCGAAATTTTCTATTTGAACATTATTGAATGCGAAAGAGGGGTCACAGTTGGGAAAGTATCAGTTAATGTAAGCGCATGTATTTGTTAAGGTAAGCTTATATTTCTGTTAATGTAAGCATACATCATATATATATCTGTTAATGTAAGCACATTTATTGAGTTACTCTCCACATCTCAAAAAGACAACACTTTAGAGCAAGCAAGTACATATTCGACACAATTTACCTACAGATTAATGTATCATCATATATTGACAAGTCTATTATAAAAATTTTAAATTGGAAAACCACAACATTTTGACGACAATGACATATCATAGGTCTATATTTTAGATTCATCAAAATAATTTTTGTAAACATCGTTCAAAAAAACTTTCAAGTGATTATGAAATGAATCGAACATTCTTTAAATGATGAAAAAATGAGAATACAAAAGAAATATGATGCAGTGCATTATGTATAGAAACATTAAATGGATGTGATGTGTATTAAATCACATTCATAAGCAAAAAGACATGCATCATCATTAATATGACAGCGTGTATAAAATAAACTGGCGGATATTATTGTAGAAAATAACGAATATGTAGCAGGAAGAAGCAACCAGCAATCATCCTTAACATCCTGTTACAAATTGTCAATTTTTTTTTGTTGAAAAAATGTGAAAAAAAAATTTTATAACTACTTATTTAAAAAAAAAAACAAAACTAAATTTTTAATTTTTTTGGCAGAAATATGTTTACTGACGAACTCTCGAAGGTGCGCCAGCGTGCGGTGCGAAACTTACTGCAACCTTTTCTCGCTGTCCGTTGAGAACTTCAACTCCGTACTCGACCACTACCCACTGATGAGGAGGACATTGGAAAGTGTGGCGGCTGAGAGGCTCAACAAAATAGGTTCCTCTTCCAGTTCATTTTCATCTGTGTTTGTCTAGTCTGAATTTTTCTTCAAAGTTTTTTTGGCGTGAATTATTTTCTAAAACAACAGCTGCAAAATTTTTATAAGGATTATTAGTTTTTGGAAGTCTTTAGGTTTTTAAAAGTTTAACAAAATATCGGCATTTGATTGTGTCAATCATGATGTTTTTCTGATGAGATTACATCACAATTTTGGTGTCTCCGGTACTGTTCATGAATGGCTTAACGGTTTGGTATCTGAACACAGGTTGTTTCAGGGGTGCCTACAATTGTTATTTATATAGGCTGAAATATATTACGCAAAACTGAAAATAGTTTTGGTCATTTGAAAATTATTGATATTATCATACTTCATTGAATATTTAATATTAAAATTAAAACCGAATCACCTACATCTGAAAAATAAATCACAGGACGAAACCCAAGCATTGTATGCACTAGCGCTGAAGACATCAAAACAGTTAACCAAATCATATCTCTTGGGAGTTGTGAGGAGGAAGAAGCCACCACAACTACCACAACGAACACAACCGTCATCATTTCAACTGCAGCAGCTTCAAATTTCAAGATGACAGATGATAAAACAGTCGTTGTGCTTTCATTATTTTGTTAATGATTAAAAATTTACATTTTTAATAATTAATTAAATAAAAAAAACTACATTGAAAATACTGTTTACTAAAAAATAAATAATATTTTAATATCAGGTGTTAGACGAAACAATCACAACCAACGACGGCAATATCTCAATCACTTCCAATTCAAAATCTACACAAAAATCAGACAAAAAAGCCGAAAACAGTCGATCTAAGCAGTCTGGGAGGAGAAAAATTTACCGATTCCTGAACAGAAATCCGCTAAAATTCGAAGCCTCGTCCGCCGTTAAAAACTGGAAAAGTTTGATCAGGAAGGAATTTGCCAACAGCAGGAGGACAGATTAATGTGTATAATAAGTTCACGTTCATTTATATTTAATTGAAAATATAACCTAATGAGACTAAATATAATTGGAGTTTATTGTAAATAGTTCAATTTCTAAACAAAAGTAGAATAAAGTAAACTAATTTAAAGAGATAGTCGGATGTAAACGTTGCAGTGTATTGTAAAGAATTGTTTAATTAAATTTCCCGACTAATTTTGCACCTATTGCCAAATATTTTTTATATTTATAGTTTATTTTCAAATTTACAATAATTTTCATTATTTACAAATCTGTAACATGAAAAGCAATACCTTTAAAAAATTATAAACCATATAAAACTCCGCCAAATAAACTAAAACATGAAATCCGAGTTAAATATCCTTGATATATTTGAAGAAAAAAATTGACATACAAAAACGGATCATAGAGTTTATCTCTTGCCATCAACTAATCTCATTTTCTTTGCATTTCAATTATTTTTCTCGATGTTTTATGCTCTTGTTTTCAAGACTTCAGCACCATCCATTTTTCTTTTTTCAGACGTTGACCCAGATGATATTCAGTTTTCAACAAAATTTCCAGCTGATTGTGGAATGTCCATGGAAACTACGATAGACGGTGGTGTTGACGATGAAGATGTTGACCTAGGTTAAGAAAATTATTTTGAAACAGATGATGGTGGTGAATTTGGTGATGATTGTGGACTTGATGAAAACTATCGTCTTCGTTTCTGAGGATTTTTATCAACCGGTTCTTTTTGTCTGGGTTTTTCCTCTTCCTGAGGTTTTACAAGTTCAAACTGTTTTTTTCCAATCTTTAAGGTTTTTTGAGGTGTTTGTCGACATTAAAAATATCTTTAATGGAACTTTTTGGCCTAATGTTCCTTGTGACAAATACTGTTTTGTTGTTGTATTTATGAGGCAAATGAAGTCGTATATAATTTAATTATTGTTGTCGTGTATGTTTTCTGCATTATTGCAGTTGTTGCCATCGTGCCACCATTGTTGTCCATGTTGTTCTTTTGAAATTTCGACTATCGATTTAAAAACTGTATTAAAAAATTCAAATCAAACTAACTCAAACAATTTTAGTAATATTAAACATCAAGTTCAGAAAGACCAAAACAAGATTTGTATATCAACTTATTTATAAGATCCATTTATTTGCCGAACTACTAATCCGAAATAATTCTGCACTTTATATAAAGTTCCCGAAGCAACAGTAAACTACGCTGCTTTCCTAGATCGACCTTCGACAACTTTATAAAGTTTTTCTAGCCACATTTAATAAAAATTTCATAAACCTGTTCAAACCACGCCAATGGAAAAAATTTTGTCAACTTGATAAACTTTTTACCACCCATCATGACATTAAATTTTACATTCGATAGAGCAAATAATTTTGAAAAGTTTCAACCTGAAACTATTAATAAAATTTGTCATCAACTTAATTATTTAATTAATTTCTATTATAAATTTTGCATATATTTCCAATTAATGTGTTCTAAAATTTACTATTTATTTTTAAGTTTACAAATTATAATGTATAAATCTACATGGCGAAAAGCAACACGTTTAAAAAATGATAAACCTTATGAAACGCTGTCAAATTCATTGAAACACATTTTTCATAAATTTAGGTATAAAAATGGATCACAAGGTTTAATTCCTGTCATCATTTAATCTCATTTTTTTGCACTTTGGGAGTCTTTCTCGATGTTTTCATCTTCCTGTGTCATGATTTCAACTCCATCCATTTTTCTTTTTATGGACGTAAACCCGGTTTTTATTTGACTGTGGAATGGTCGTGAAAACTTCAACAGATGGCGGTATTGACTGTGAAGAAGATGCTTTCCAATCAGATAAATCTTTTGAAGATGTTGACCTTGGTGTAAATTTCCGCTATTTTGACGAACGTCTTTCAGGCAAAATTTTCCATCTTTTAATTTTTTTGAAGACATTCCTTACCAGAACAAATAATATTAATGAGAATTTTTGGCCTAATGTTCTTAGTGACAATATGAACTCTAACTAGGACTCATCGAATAATACAGAATAAATGTCATGAACAAACATTGGTTACAATTTTTGTTAGGTGTGCAATTGTAAACATGAGTAAAGTGAGGCAACTAAAAGTCGATTTTACTTTAACTATGAAGAGATATTCATTTTAAACAAAAAAGCAACAAAAAATAATATTGAATACTAATGATTTATAAAAATTTGAAAAACCGGTTGAGTTTTACGTTTTAATGAAAATTATGTGAAAGGAAGACAAAATAACTTTGAAACTTTATTTTATGACATTGAATTTTACATTCGATAGAAAAAATAATTTAAGAGAATAACGGTGATTTAGTTTGCACATGTTACCATCTATTTTTGTTTTTATATTTACAAATAAAGTAAAATATAAATAAGTTTAATATTTTTCATAAAAAACGTATCAAACTGTGTATTTTCTCGTCATCATCTAATCTAATAATTTTTTTGGCAATTTGGGTGTCTTTCTCAATGTTTTCAGTCTCTTGTCTCATTACTTCAGCACTATCCATTTTCCTCTTTTGACGTTGACCCAGTCGTGGAAACCTCAGTAGATTTTTGCATTTTTGACGAACGTCTTCTAAATAGGTTATAGGCGAAATAGGTTACAATCGGCAAGAAGCTCAACTAGCTCGAATGCAGGAAGGTTTCTTGCAGAACTGTCTTCCGCACGATCCATCTGCACTTCTCCCATTATTGTCCAGTGAACGTGTTCGTTGACGGGCGGTTATCTCTTCGGGTCTCTCCACTTCTATTAACGATGGATCCTTTATGGGTATGTCGTGAAAAACCAGCCAATGGTTGAATTTCCTGGCAGCCTGTTTTACATGAACTTTAATGTAGAGAATCGCATCTTCTTCATATAATTTATATTTTTTAATCTTTTTTAACGTCGCTTTTCTTATGGCACTGAAACGACGAGGATTCTCGTAGAAATAATCATAATCAAATGAGGGCCATTCAAAGTGGTCATCATCGTCCACACCCATATTAACACTACTGTGCTCGTTGTAGTTTGATCCCATAACCTTTTTTCTTTTCTGCATCAGATTTCAATGAACCTGAATCATTGTAGTTACATTTAGATTCCATTTTTCTTCTGAAATGTTTTTCAACTGTTACCTAGAAACTGATTTCAATGAAATTGTTTACGTAGAATTAGCGCTTGAATTCGACGTTTGTAAATTTTACTTCAACTTGCTAATATTTTTTAATTGCAATTCTGAACAGGTGTAAAAGTTTAATGGTTGGATAGGTTCAAGAATTGACTTCTTAAATAGTAATATCTACAAAGAAGCTTAGTTTAGTAGATCTTTGTCGATGTCACAAAGTGCATTATTGAATCATAATTAATTATCGCTTGGCTCATTGTAAAGTTTTATTAACCTCTCAGCTTTGACATATTTTTTGTCGCTACGCTCATCGCTCATCCATGGGTCGCATTACAACAAAGAATTGTAAAAATTAAATCACAGTTAATTTTACAAGTGAGTAATTCAAAATGTCAGATTAACAGAATCATAAATTTCATTATGTGTTGTAATTGTTAAACATTTATTATTTTAACGACTCTTATCAACATAATCTTCACAATAAATTTTTTATAAGATAGTGAAATTATAACATTATTAAAGTTGAGATTAGCAGATAAATATTTATGATTTCCTCAATGTTTCACAAATGTCTTTCTTCTAAAAACATTACTTTTCATTCTATTTCATACAATTTATAACTTGTAAACTTATCTATTTATCAAAGAACTAACACTTACATTCATATTTGACATATTTATTTTTTGATTTTAATATGAATGTAACTATAATTTTTTCATGGCGTTGCTATTGCCGTGTTAGAATTCGATTTCAAAGATACTCGCGAATTTACACGCGATGTGTGTGATGCGTTTTTTTACATATGTTCACATGGACTGTGTGTTTGTTGTTGAGGTCTCTAAATAAAAAAGGAAAATGAAAATTCTCAGCCGTTATATTTTTAGACATGACTTGAAAGCAGAACTTAGTAACGAATTAAAACTTACAAATTAAATAAGTTTTTTTAATTAAATTATGAAGTTTGAACATAAACAAAAATAAATTTAATAGATAAACAAATATATTGGCAATAAACTTACTATAAACGTTCATGTTTATAAAGCATTCATGTTAATGAAACTTTCATATTAATAATAAGTTCCTATTGATGACGACGCATATCCCTCTTGTCAATAGTGAAAGAAATAAAAGATGTAATGATGTTGTTAGTTTCAAAATAGCAAATAAAAATAATAATAGCACAATTTTTCTTCTTTTTACCTATTGAAATGAAAAAAGAATAACTGTATTATAGTGTTGATGATATTTTGAAAAAAAACTAAACAATGAAATAAAAGTACTAATAAGAAAAAAAAATTTTCAAAACATAATTTAAAAATAATAATGAAAAAGAAATAAATTATTTGGATTGTTGTTTACCAAGCACCATGTTTTAAATTTGCGACGAATGAGCGCAAAGTGCATCGGTGAGTACTTTCCTCATTATTTGGTTGGCACTGCTGTTGCATCTACTCAACCGAACACGCGCTGGTCTTCACGCACAACAGCAAGTACCAATACATCCTAATGGAAAAAATAAAAATTTTCTTTCCATTGTGTTTGACGAGCCAAGTATAATGGAAAATTTGAAAGCACCAAAAGGTTGAAGATAATAGAAAAACTGAATAGATATTTTTGCATGACAGTATCATCTATATACACACATACATTCTTGTATTTAGTAACACTAGCATGAAATGAACACAAGCGTTGGTTTCTAAATATATATGCATCAACACTAGAATTATATACGTTCATATCGCAGAAGAATTTTTATGCATGCATCAATTTAAATTATTTCAAAGCATTTCAAAATATTTTTATCATTTAAAAAGTTAATACTGATAAAATTTTACTACACTAAAATTATATTTCCCAACGTTGCAACATATGTTGAAGATGAGTCTTACAAAGTTAATGAAATATTTCCTCTGCCAACTCATTCTCCTGAATCTACTTGCACAAATCATCTCATCAACCTCACTCTCATCAGCAGCATCATTAAACATAATACAAGTTTTGAATTTTTCAAGCTTTACTGCTTGTTACCAAAACTTGAAATTGAACCTTTCTAAAGTTGGATCCAACTCTAACAACAACGTGAACCGTAGTGTGTGTTCGATCGAAGAACCGACCGAAACCGCGAATATCGATCTTGTCGCATTGAACAAACAACACGGTGACGATGGGAAAGCGCTGGTAACTATTTGCATATCTCTGTGTCGGTATAAACAAACCAATCAGTCAATTTGCCAGGGATTCAATGTCAGATTCGATTCAAGCGAGTGCGAGTTGTATCGATTCGGTCCGGTATATTTCGCCCAACAAGACGGATGCTCATTTTACGCTGTAAGAACTTTTTATAAAAAATCTTTGAATGCTTAAAATTATTTCACAGTTAGTTTTCAAATTTGTAACTGTTGATCAACTATATTGCAGCTCAAACCGGCTAACAGTTCAGGTTTGGTGGTTGTGCCAACATACCCATACAGACATTTGCTTTATAAGCCATGCAAGTGATATTAATACAACCAGATTTATAAAAAATTTAGTCTTATAAAATTATAATATTTCTTATTAATTTTTAAAAATTTTATCACTTGATGTGTTTAAATTTTCATGTATGCTATATTATAAAAAAAGTTTGTAATTTAAATTAATTTGTTTCCTTGATATTTCAAGCAGCACCAGCTTTACTGCCAAACACATCTCTCACGTTTCTGGTTCAACTGAAACTCAATGAATCTTCAACATCTTTCGACAGAAGTTGGTCTCAATTCAAAAGTGGATTTTCTGTTCCAACTGTGTCGGCATCTTCAAACCCTGGTTGTTGTGGTGGGGGTAGCTGGGATGTGTACTGGTTGGGTAATGAATTGCTGTACCAACTTACGAACATGTATAAATGCGGTCTACATGTTTATCGCACTGTTAATAATGGTTGGTTCAATTTGACAATGAATTTTAGTTTATTTCATTGAATATTTAATTTTTGAGAATTTACATTTTATGTAATACTATTATTACTTTTAAATTTGTTTTGTGGCTCAGTACATTAACACAGGCTCACTTCAAATTCGTTCAACAAGTTTTTTTCAAACAACCTCGTCGTTACTCATGGGTTTGGGGAGTTGTACATGTCCATTCGTGTTATTACCATCTAGTTATCCATAGATCATTTCATTTCTCTCATTTCTTTTTTAAATTATTTATTTTGGTAAAAGTGTGTCAATTTTATAATTCTCTCAGCAGGAAAACCGGAGCTCCAATACTCCTATTATGATCAATTCAGAGTTGCTTCAGAATCGTATAACTACAGATTGGATGCGATAAGTTACGCCAGTGGAAATTGCAGCACGTACGCTGGTTTGTTGAGGGCGGAAAGTTATTTCTCAACGTACGATAAGGATAACGACGTTGATTCCATTGTCAACTGTGCTGCAGTCTATAGAGCAGGTACAAATTGCATATGGAATTGTTTTGTTGAAATTATTCATCTTTATGGCTATTTTGAAAAGCAGTTATATATCTTATATGATTCAAAACTTTTACAGTTTTTACACTGTTTATTTGTAAAGATTATTCACAACTTATTACTTTTAGATAAAAAATTTTACAAACCACATCCTAGATATTCATGTTGATCAGCACGATCAGACTCATCATTAAAATGATTTTTTATTCAATCACAAACAGGGTGGTGGTACAGCACATCAACCACGGTTTTAGGAAACTGTGGCTTCACCAACTACAACAGCTTCCAGCCCTACTTCATAACGTACTATAATGGCCTATCATTTCAGATGCTTGGAAGTCAAATGTGGATGCAGTGTGTTTGAGTTGCAGTAAACATTACACAATTAATTAAGCAACTACGAACATTTTAACTAAAAACATTTTTCATCAAATTACAATTTGCATTAGTGGTACTTTTTAGCTGTTATGCACTAATACTATTATTATTACGACTACCAGAGTCCGGATCTGATTAAAATTTGTCCCACTCCAAATCCTTGAATAACATTTTTTTACCCACAAATCCCTAAATTTGTCAACTATAGTTTACATTATCACGTCACTCCCTACATAAAGTTTCTGCTTTTTCCACCAGGAACTTTGAAAAAAAAATATGTAAAAGAGTTTTTTCATATTTCAACATAAAATATTAAATACGTTTCTGGGTGAATTTTCAAATTTTTTCAAAAAATTTTCAAAAAATTTTCAAAAATTTCTTGTCCTCAAAAGGAAGTTACATTTTTTCAACCGATAAAAATTATCACAATTTACTGACAATTTTATTTTCAATTTAAAGTTTTTAACACGTTATAACACGTTCGTTATAATCATCGCAAACTAGTGAAAATAAAGTTCGCACATTAAAAATACATAAATACCAGTGACACGAGATAATGCTTTATTGTTATGTCTCTGGTTAATTTGTGGATTTTTTTCAATCTTTTCAATTCGTTAAAAATTGTTTATGTACAAAATAAGTTTTCATGTCAAATTCACATCAAATTCAATCAAAATTTCGAAATATAATTTAAGTAAAACTATTTCGTGTTCAATTTTTAAAATAAGAAATGAAACTTCATTATTTGGCTTGGTGAGAAGAAATTAATTATTTAAAATTTTGAATAAAACTTTCAAAATTTATTTGAAAAAATTTGATTTCATGAAACTGTTTGTGAATCACATCGAATCAATTTTACACCAAACACGTTGATTTGTTTATATTTGTCTATATACCTTTTTTATTTATTCACGATGCAACTTTTTTTCTTTCTAACCATTCAACAAAAAAAACAAATGATTTCCTGTAAGCTACCATTCATATTCTCTTCTCTCACAAACTATCGCTTATTTTATGACCTCGACCTTTCAAAAGCAGGACATCCTTAATGGGGAGCCCCTAAAAAATTATGATTGCTAACAGCATTATTATTCTATTCTAACCCTCCATCGGTTTCAACCAAATAAACTTAGCAACATAAATGAAAAAATTAAAAAAAAGGTTATTAAGACAACGACAAACAATGGTGTAAATAATGTGGACACCAAATTTTTTTCAATGATTGCTATCGGGGTTCTACGTAATTAATTAAGGTATCATCGAGTTGGAGTCTGTCTGTTCACGTTATACACATGTGTTTTGCTAATTTTTGCATTACGTTAATTTTGTCATAAATTACAAATTTACTTAAAAAATTGTGTTAGAATGAACAATTTGTGAACGGTGGCCTGCGACACAAGAATTTTGTTTTCTTTTAGCTTTGGTCTCCTAATCATTACCTAATTATTATTTATTTGGATTGATTGAATAAAATTTGATTTGATTTGATTTGATTAACTGGTGCTATGAAACGTAAATAAATTAATTGATAAAATGGTGTGATTGAAATATTTTAAGAGCGAGTAATTTCAAATGTATTAAAAAATATTATTAAAAATGAATAATTTTGTTGAATAGTTGTTAAAAAAAGATATATGCAGTCTAAAAAGACATTACGAATGAAAAAAAACAACATGTGAACCAATTTCAAAAGGTTAACCTGGTTTATCACTTTTTGTAAATGCCAAAATATTTTAGTTCAAAAATTTAACATCCACGCTTTTTTTATATTCAGAATCTGACAGACGCAGAATTGTATTTAAAAAAATTTTATTATACATTTTTTTCAATGCTTTTTTCCTATTGTATTCCACCCATTATAAACTTTGGTATTTAATTTGTGCTTAATAATAAATGATAAAATATAATAATAATAATAATCATCATTATCATTATTAATATCGTCGTCATATACATGTGTATAATGTAAGTATGATCGTATGTGCGGACACAAGAGTACAAATGAGTTTGCTTATACGTGTGAATGTTTTTTGATTCTGTTTATCTGCCTCCGTCTGTATATCTCTATCGCTTGAAACATCGCTTGGAGAAAACGCTTTAAAAGTACTTGCGGCGTATAGTTTCGCGCAGGTTTGAATGCCTCTTGTGAAAGGTTGCTTTATTATTTTAATATCAAGATTATTTTCTTATTATTCTTTCTACTATTTACTAAATTTATTTTTCTATACAATAATTATAGGATTGATCTAACAATTTCTGTAGGATGTTTCAGCACCATCAGCATCTTTGTGTCTTCATCGTTTATGAGTCGTCATCTTCAACAAGTCTACTGTATTTATATTAACTTTTACATCGCGTCAATATCAGTGTTTTTCCAACTGAAACACATCTTAAATTAAGTTCAATCTCGTCGTCAGTTCATATTTTTATGAACTTATCATCATGATGGAATCTGTTTTTCTCTTAAGTTTCCCTCATTCATTTTATTTGTTCTTTCATCTCTTCTCATACTCACTTTCTTCTCTGTTATCACCTTTACTTTTATCATCATTATTTCCCTCATTATTATTATCATCATCTTCTTTATCACCAGCAACAATCACAACATCATCACCACCATTACCACCACGACCCAACAACGCCAACATCCTCGTCGGGATGTTATCTAGCAGTAGCAACATAAGTCGTACTATGAAGGCACTGGATAACGGATATTCTCTTGCAAAGCAGGAAAAGTTTTACAATGGAATCTATAAGTTGGTACCTCTGTAATACTCAGTGGTTATACAATGAAAATGTTTTCATTCACGTGAATTCACAATCTTCCAACAAATAAATCATTTTATTTTATCAGATTTATACCACATTAAAATAAATGAAATGTTCTGTTGAATTTGCAAATCCTGTCATTGAACAGTGCCACGGTCCGAGTGTTAGACACGTGTGATGGAATGTCGAGTATGACAGAGACTCTCAACCTCATTCTAAACGACTCTGTGGATGTCCTCTTTGGAGCTCACTGCACAGCTAGTATGTGTCATTTTTAATGTATCAAGATTGCCATTATTTTTTTGTTTTTGTTTTATTTCTTCGTCACTACATTCACACAAAATTTGTATTCTCAGTAAATAACTCATTTTGTTTTTGTAGTGAAATATTTTACCCAAACGTAAATATTAATGTAACTATTTTGTTCAGATTGCATTGCCACAGCCCAAGCAGCCAATTACTGGAACATTCCATATTTCCCTTTGAACTGCTTCGACCCGAGACTTGACGATTCTACTCTGTATTTGACTGTCATTAGATTCTTCGGCTCTCTGACATCATTTGGCGCATCGTTTGCAGCATATTTCAAAAGGTATCAATGGGAAAACGTCGCCATCATGATAGAAAGTGAAGCAGACTTTTGCAATTCTGCTCTTAATGCCATTCAATCTTCATTGAGAGGAGACATGGTGACGGTGGCTGAAATCGTGCAATTGCCAGCTGACATCAGCTCTTTGGATGCTTCGATTTTTTCTAAAATTCGTCGCTCAGCTCGAAGTTTGTGTAAAGTGTAAATTTGTAATTCGGTGTCTAAAATATTAAGAAAGCTGTCATTTAATCGGTGTAAATGTTCTTACAAACACCACCTCACATCTGTGTTATTTAAATTCTGTATCACACCGAGCAAGATGAATTCTCTCGATACCGAAGCTAGTTGAAAAGTCTTTAAGAACTGTATGCTAGAAATAATTCAATCCACTGTCTCTAAATACAATAAAAAAAACCTGGATAATTACAAAAGTAATTTTTAAATTGAGAAAAAATTGAATCAGAATGTAGAAAAAATAACAACAATAACTAAACAAGATAATGAACATATATGGAAAAACATCTGAACGCTAGACAACATTTAACAACAAAATACAAAAAAATAGGTTCAGATCAAGTAAAACAAACAAGCAAAAAAATGTCACAAAGAAAGCTGGCTAAGAACATTAAGGTGGACTGTAAGAGCCTCTATAGATACGTAAAAAGTAAACAAAATCGGAAAGAAAAAGTAGGGTCTTTATTAAATAATTTTGGACGTACTTTAGATGACGATGCTGAAACAGCAGAAAAATGTACGAGTATTTTGCCTATTTGAACACAAAAGAAAACGAAAACGTTATATTAGCAATTACAAGTAATTTTAATGACGTTGAAGATGAGTACTTAACAAATTATCGGTTTACATCAAACGAAATTGAAAACATCCTGCATAAGCTGAAGGAAGACAGAAGCCCAGAAATTGATACATACTTTTTAAAGTTGAAAAATATTCATTCGAAAATTAAAGGTACTTTGAGATTGAGAGGCTGTTGTAATTCCATTTTTGAAGCTAACTATAGACCGATCAACTTAACCGATATAAACTGCAAAGTAATGGTTAAAAGAACGGATCTTGAATCATAATGAAAACACATATAATATACCTAATCACAGTCTACAGGGGTTTAGGAGACGACAAAATATGATTAAACTGGAACACTCATCAGATTAGAAAATGTTACTAGTGACCTACCCCAAGTATCACTACTGTTCATCCTTTACAGTGTGTATAAACGATTTTGACAGCCGATTAGGTTCTAGGTTACCCAAGAGTGTTAATGATACAAAACTGTGCGCCGTGTTAGATAACGCTAAAGATGTGGCCTTGTTTGAAAAAAACCTGAACAAATTATCATTATATCAATGGTCGGTAGACTGGTAGATGCTTTTCAATGTTGAAAAATATGCAGTCATACAACTCAATTGACACTATGTGGGAATGAACTTAAGTCTTTTACAAAAAAACGTGACCTGTGTTTTCATTGCCTAAGATTGTAAGCCATCAAAACAGCGTCTAAAAGTCGCTGAAATAACAAATCATTTGCGATGACCCGTAAAAAAACGATTTTAAACAAGGAACAAATCGTATTAACAAGGTTAAACATATTCTGAGTATGACCCCATTTGGTCTAGTGCACACAGTTTTCAGGTTCAAAGTAGGACTATAAAACTGATTAAAGAAGGACTATAAAATTGATCACAAGTTTACAACGCCTGCAATACAAAGATAGTCTTAATAACATTGTCTAACAACCCTGGAAACACATCGAACAAAGCGAGATTTGATCCAAACTACGGACAAAGATTCATCGGCTGCAAGATTTTTTAAACTGCCCCATAACAAATATATATGGTCTTAAACTGAAACTCTTCGAAGAAAGAGCTGGGCCAATGAAATATAATTTCTTTATCAACAGAGTTGTCTATAACTGAACGATGCAGTGCCAGCAGAATCGAGCAATATTTTTAAAAGCAAATTGGCCAAATTGGGAATTTAACCAAAGTGGCTCTAAACAGTGGATATGTCTTTCAGCTACTATAATTTATGTTATGTTATATTATGTCATGACAATAAATCAAAATCTAAATGTCTATAGCAAGTTAACTCTATCTTCAATAATAATAATTATTTAAAAAATTATTCATGCAGTAATTATCGTCTGCCACTCCAATCAAACCGTCTTCAGAAAAATTATGTTCTTTGCACAGGATCTTGGGATGACTGATCCGGATAATTATGTCTGGATCACTTTTTATAACATCTACTTAGGTTGCGCATTGATTTTTTAAAAATAACTTCTGCATTGCAATTTTCATTTCATAACAAAACATTCAACTTAAACTTTAACATCTTTATATCGACATTATTAATATAGGCATGACTTTATTATTTGTCATTTATTTATCACTAAATTTGTCTAAATAAATGTTAATTTAATCATTTTCATTTTCTAAATTGAATAAGTGCTTACTGTCTATGGCTATTTATAGAGCTTAAACTTTCTTTTGAACTAAGGTTCATTAATTAATTCACGAGTGAAATTCTAAATGTTGGTTATGTGGGATTATGACATTCAACCGAAGCAATTCAATAAAAAAAAGTTGACGGGCATTATCAAGTACTTAATTTTTTTTTCAAGGACTACCATTTGATGCCCTGATTCACCCCTGGTCAGCCACAAACGACCACTTGCCTGAAAATGACTACAGGAGGAAAGCGTTTCTTTCACTAAAAATTGTATGTAGATGCAATGGTTTGGTGTGAAATGTTTTGTTTATAAAAATTTTACTCCAAATTACTGCCAGTTTAGCTAATTAAATAAAAACAGTAACATATTACATTATATAATAATATAATATAAAAGTAAATATGAAGCTAAAAGAAAATCTGATACGTGCCCTTGTTTCAAAACATCATTAGATTAGTTTTCAACTGTTTATATGGTTATTGCGCGTTGGTACATTGGTGATGAGGTCCATTATTAACCTCTCGCCAACCTTGACAGATAACGTACAAAAACGTGACCCCCATCTCTTACATTTCCAATGACGCCACTCAGGTATTTTACTTTCTTGAATAAATTTTAAAAATAGGGTCACCATCAAACGATATCGAAATATAAATTTTATTAAAATAGTGAAAATGATGAAATATTTTTTGAAAGGAAAAAATTTTTCGAGAATTTGTTAACTTCACTTAGAATGATTACTTATTCAGTGAAAGAAAAAACTGAAACAAAACTCTAGAGTTTTGGAAAATAAGGAGTATAAGTAGATGAGCAATTGAAAAGAGGACTACAGTAATATGTAGTATGTACTAATATAACATTGTCAATAATTTTTAACAGCAAACGATCGTAATATTTCATCGCAGCAGTCACTGGATGACATATTCTACCTCTACCTGGTGCTCAGGAATCAAACGTTGAGTTCAAACAAGGATCCAAAGAGCGGGTCCAACATTCTCAACTCTGCGAAATTAAATCAAATTATGGGTAGGTATAATAAAAAAATATTAGACAATAAGGTATAACGAAATTATCAGTATGTATGTATGCAGAGATTTTTGAAATGATAAATTAATTTGCGATAAATACAAATCAATCAACAAAACATGACGGAAGTTATCAAACGATTTACGGCATAATGAAGCCAGATATCTAAATGATTGATTTAATCATCATCCGAATTTATATGCATATAAATTTGCAGACATTTTTAAAAACAAATAAAAACAAATGAATTGAAAAATTACAACAAATGTTTATTTATCTTTAAAATCATGAAAACGCATATGGAATTAGATAAAAATGAGACGGTGAAATTTAACTTTGATGGAGACCGGCTGATGAACTTCTACGTTTGGACGCTGGCACCCGACGCAACCACATTCGCTCCCTACATGGAAATCAACATGACCAACGAAAGCGCATATTCGGTGGGTGCTGGTTCATTTTTTTAATTATTGGATGTGTAATTGAAATTGTTTGTGGAAATGTTGGTAGGCATGTAGGTTTTGATGAACTTTTTGGATGAGCTAACGTACTATGTGGTGAATTATTTGTAATAAATTACATTTTATAATAATAGGTTTACACTAAATAAATAATTGTATTACTGTTAATGCATGTATTAATTATATTTTAATTTCAGATGAAACTATTATACGTATAAAATATTCTTTAAATCAAATCTACAATTAGGTTAAAATATAGTCTTAATTTTTAAAACTCAGGCTATATTATACATTTGTCTTCTTTTTATTACTTATAGAGCTATTCAAAATATTCTCATTTACGGTGCAAATGTCGTCTCAACTCTGTTATTGTTTAAAAAAAAATTTCATCAATACTTTTACTGTGATCGTCGTTTTCATCATCATAAATTCATCCCACTTGCATTACTTCAATGAATCGGGTTTATTAAAACTCTTAGAAAGCGGAAAATTAATCACCATAAAATGCTGTTGTATGCATGGGTCGTTAAGTACTTACTCATTCACCTCTCTTTCCATTTATTAATTATCATTGCACTCCTCCTAGCAGTGGCGCCTGTGTGATGTTCTGAATAATGTTCGAAGACAAATTCATTGATGGGTACTTAGGTTTTATTGAGACATTCACGTAAAAACAAGTTTTTTATTTTTTTTTATTTGCTGCTTCAGAAAAAAGTTAGATGAAAAATCTAACTTTTCAAACGGTGAATTTTCATAATAAATAACAAGAGCTTTTTAAATATATCTATTTAATACTGTTGAGCAATTTTTGCAATGGACGCGAAGCTATTTTATGGCGATGCCTTGTTCGCCACAAAAGGTCGTCATTATGAAAAAATAAAGGAGCCACAAATCTTAAAAAATTCACCTCCGGGTCGAAAAATTTTAATACATATGCGGCCCTTCAAAGATGAAAAAATTAGTTTTCAATGCGCCCCTCACGGCAAAAAGTTTGCCCACCCCTGCTATAGCATATTAATTGACAAGTAAGTACAAGCAATAAAATTTATTCTTTACATCAACTATCAAATTTGTTCAAAATCAAGTTTGTAGGACTGTTTATAATAAGGAACGATACACAAATATATAATAAACATACATATTCACATCTACAAACATTTATTCAGATCATTTTATAATTAAAACAAGGTTGTCGTTGTTTCGAAAGATTGAAAAATTTCAAAAAACTGTTTAATCCCCAGTTTATCCATACGTTTTATGATATTTAAGAATAGTTGTATCTGCTATTTAGGTATCTCGTAAATTAAAACATTGTTGTAAAATTTTTAAGTAACTTTTTTCGAGAAGTGTGAATGGTTTCGTAATAAATATAGCTATCATTAAAGTTGAAAAAAATAAATTTTCATTTTTAACGTCTGAAATAAAATAGACATGCTTAATGTTTTCATGCTGTAGTGTAATAAAATTAGCAATTTTTTGTAAAATTAAGACATACACAATCGGTTATGATGCATGGGCTACTGAAAATAAGGTGCCGAAAGATACCCCAGACTGTGGATTCGAAAACGAATACTGCATTAAATCGCTAGGTGAATATTCATTTCAATTAACTTTAAAAATGATAATATTTTCTATTTTGAATTTTTTTATTGAATTTAGTAAATGACTAAATGTTTTTATGTCTACGGTGGAGATATACCTTTAGATTTAAATGATCTCATCATGCAAAGTCTATCCAATTCTTTCCAGGTAACATCTCGTTGTTTGTCGCACTGGCAGTAATTTTTGTCATGATTGTTTTTGCAACACTCTTCTTTTACATCATTCGGTAAGAGGAGGTTTTCAAAAAAAATATTTGTTTTTTTGCCATTTTATTTATATTGGAATATTGTAAATATTTTTTCATTTTGTAATTTTAACATAAGCAAAACTGCTTATAACTTGTTCTTCTCGGTTACAAATAAACTTGTTTTGTCGTGTGAGTTATAAAAATAATTCAGCGTGAGTAGATAGATATTTGTGTGTAACGAACATGAACCGCAACGTACATACAAGGCGAAAAGGGCTTAAGCTTTAAACCAAATTTGTGTTAATTAATAACCACGCTCTTCTACCATCTTAGCTAATTTCAAAATATTCTGCGAACATCAACGTTATGACTAATGAACATGAAATACTCACAATAACATGTAAATACAGAACGGTGATATCTGAGAGAAAAGTTTTCAAAATGTCCTGGAAGATCGAATTCAATGAACTGCAGTTCATCGTCGAGGCGAAAAGTGTCAGTAAGAATGTGGTTAGCAAACATTCAGATTAAAAAAATATTTTCCAGTATTTCATTTTCTTTTTTTATTCAGAACAAAAATGTATCTACGCATCATATACCTTTGTGTATGATAGGCTGGAATCTTTCTAGAATCGAAATAGGCTACTGTGATTAATAACCAGGCGCCTTTAAACGTTACGCCAATTTACATACTAAGATTTTACAAAAAAATGTTTGTTATTTGTATGATTTCCAACATTAGATGAAGAGCGGCTTGAAAATAACGGACAGTTCAAACATGTCTGGAGATGAGGACCAATATCAAGTAAAGGACTTCAAAAATTTGAACGATAGGGACGGCCAGTTGAAAGCTGTCTACAAAGGAATGTTGGTGTCTGTTTGTTACTCAAACATACACAGCATCAAACTGACCAGGGAGAATTTGGTTGAACTGGTCCAAATGAAGGAACTCCAACACGACAACTTGCTCCCTTTCTTAGGCGCCTGCACAGATGATCATAAAATTTGTTACGTTGTGCAATACTGCAGTAGAGGTTCTTTGCAGGTGAGTTACTAAATTCGGAGTGCGGTGTTGAATTTGAATTGAATGTGAAAAGAATTTAAAATGAAAAAACCTTTTTATTTATAATTAATGAATAATGTTTCCATGGTTCATAAATTTGTATATTAATCAGTTTTCAATCAATCAATCAATTATCTTATAAAGCGCTATTTCCGCGATGTTCAACAGCGATGTTTTGCAGTATTTGATTGAATCTGGATAAATATTTAGACTTGATAATTTCCATGAATATTTTAACAGGACATGCTGAGCGATTACTCTAAAAAATTGGACTGGTCGTTCAAATTCTCGTTTGTGATGGATATCGTGAAGGTGATTTGTTGATGAAAAAGATTGTGGTGACGATATGATCAAATTGTAATGTTACGATTCCAAGCCGCTGCATGTTCATAATAAAAATGTGGAATGGGTTTTATATTTTTCTGTAATTATTGCTAATGAAACATTCATTTGAACCTCCAGGGCATGACTCATCTCCAGAAATCATTTTTTAAGTTTCACGAGAAACTGACAAGCAACGTGTGCATGTTGGATAACAGGTTAACCATTTTTTCTATTCAGTATAAAATTTTGTGCCCCAAAATTAAATTTTACGAGTTGAATTAACAAACATTTCGATGGCCATAGGTAATTTAATTAATTAAATTAATATTTAGAACAAAGTTAATTAATAATAATGAAACGTTAATATTGATAATTGCTAAAATTTGTGTTTGTAAATTTATAAATAAAACTTATCAACTTAAATATTTCATCAAACGAAAAGATGGGTTGTCAAAATAACCGGGTTCGGCTTAAAAAAGTTCAGATTTTTGCCTAAATGTGATGAAACAACCGACGATTATTATCGTGACCTTTTGTGGACTGCCCCTGAAATTTTGAGGTCGAATGACCAGCAGTCGAGTAGTCTAGCGGGCAATGTGTTCAGCTTTGGGATCATCTGCCACGAGATTGTGTTTAGAGAGTATCCGTACCAAGATGCTGGCTTGTCAGCAAAAGGTCTGTTAAGTAATTTACGGTGTTTAATCTGTTTAATGTGTTTAATCTACAGATTAAGTGTTTAATCTGTAGGTTTATTTTCACTTTTAAATATGATTCGATAAAAATCAATTAAACTATTTTTATATCTCAATTGTTTTTTGAAGCTAACCACAATTGTTTGAATATGTTGAGATGAATTTATCAAAGTTTACACGGGCAACAATTTTGTGTTTTTTAGCCAAATCAGCTTTATTCATTATAAATTAATAGATATAATCCAAAAAGTGATGTGTGGTGGTGATGAAAAATTTCGTCCTGCAATGTCGCCACACAAGTCGCCGAGTGTCAGTCCATCCATGCTGGAGTTGATCCAACTGTGCTGGCATGAGAACCCTGCCAACAGACCAACTTTTGAGAACATCAGTAAAATGCTACTCAAGTTCAACAATAAGTAATTATTTTGCTGATTCGTATGAAAAATTTTTGATATATGAAATTTGGTAGGACGAGGTTTGGTTTGGTTTTAATTTTAAGAACCTCTAATAAAACATCAGTTACTAACAAACTCTTTCATACAAATCCAATACCTTAAATACATTAAGGACCAATGTGAACATAGTAGATAGCATGCTTGAAAAACTGGAAAAGTATGCAAATAATCTTGAGAAAATTGTAGAGCAGAGAACTGAAGAACTCGTTGGCGAGAAGAAGAAAACAGATTTGCTGCTACAGAGCATGCTGCCTCCGTAAGATAACTTCATTATAAAATGCGTACTAAATGTGAAGATTTAAATTTTCATAATTTTAAATTTTAATACATTATTTATTTAAATTATGAAATTAAACCCTTTTGAAATATGTTTAAAAAATTTCTTTAATTTTGTTGTTAAAAATCAAAATAACATTTCTATAAGATTCATAGCAGAAGAATTAAAGGCTGGTCGTAAAGTTGAACCGAAGTTATATAGGAGTGCCACGGTGTATTTCTCAGACATTGTAGAATTTCCGATATTGTCATCTGAAAGCACTCCCATGCAAATTGTGGATCTGCTTAACGATCTCTACGGAGCATTTGATGATACAATCTCAAGACACAAAGTTTATAAGGTTTGTATAAATTTATTTTTAAAAATTTTTGCTCGTTGTCAATTAAACATAAAAAATATTCCATCTAAAAATCAACTGTCTAAATGTAAGTTGAGCTCAAAAAATGAGGCACTGTGACTTAGAGGGTCGATGTGAAGCAAGATATGCAGCGTTTTTTGTTAGAAGATGATTAAAACAAGTTTTTATTATAAATTACAAAAAATTATATTACTCAAAGGTTGAGACGATAGGAGACTCGTACATGGTTGTAAGTGGTCTGCCTCAGGTAACAGAGCGCCATGTCGTGGAAATATGCAACATGGCATTGGATCTGCTGGGCATCGTCAAGACCTTCAAGATCAGACATCGGCCTGAGATGACACTCATGTTGAGGATTGGCATTCATTCGGGACCTTGTGCTGCTGGTTTGTCAGAAATGTTGCTGTAAATTTACTTACCAGGATATGAATTCAAAAAAACATTTTTTTGGAAAAACTTTTTATATTAATAAATGGATAATCTGTTTTATAAGCCATTTTTCAGAAATTTTCAAAAACTATTCATTCGGGCTTGTTTGTAGTTTAACAAGTTTAACACAGGAATAGTTGGTCATACGATGCCTCGTTACTGTCTGTTCGGCGACACGGTCAACACTGCTTCTAGGATTGAGTCGACAGGTCAAGGTTAACATAAACTTAAAATATTTTATTTTCATATATTACGTATAATTTTTTTAATTTTCCAATTTATTTTTTTTTAAATAAAGTTGAACTTTTATTTTTTATTCTAATTTTCTGAAAATGTCAATTATGAAAATGTGTTTTATTTCATGACTTGTATGTACTCTCTCTACTTTATATTGTAAAGCCCTCAAAATCCACTTGAGCAAACCAGCCCGAGATCAACTCCTCCAGTTTCCTGGCTACGTCATCGAGTTGAGAGGTCCCACTGAGTTGAAGGTAAAAAAATGTCGTTTATTAATTTTTATCTTATTTTAGAATGTTAGATTATTAGCATTTTCCATTTTTGTTTTGTTTTATTTTTGCTGGTAAAATTATTTCTACGTTTAATCGTTAATGAAAATAATTTCAAAAATTTCCACTTTTATTTTTCTCTTTACGACATTTCGTCATCTAAATTTTGATATTAAATATTTTTATTCATTGCCGATGTTAGTCGAAATTTTTTGAACAAGTGTATTTTGGGATAAGCTATCCAACCAACAAGCTAACCATCCTATTCCACATGCTTTAATTAAACTATATTGATTAAAATTAATTGTGTTGTTTTAATTAACTTCATTTAGAAATCATATATGACCTTCCAGTAAGTTATTCTAATACTGATTGATCAGCGTGTAAATTTTTGAAAGGTTTCGATAAAAATTTAAATAAGTGGTCTTTATAATTATTTCGTTTTATAATTATAACAGGGTAAAGGTGAGATGGTGACCTACTGGCTGGTTAGGAAAGAAGCAACAACTGATGAGCTGGAATGATGATTGGTGCTGGTTTAAGAAACTGAACGATGAACTCGTTTGGAAATAAATGTTGTTAAAAATAATGGTGACGATTTTTTAATGTCTATTTTTAGCATGATATATATATTGAATAATAATTACTTTAATTTATTAACTTGGAAATATTTATGATGGACGGTGAATATTTTAAGGAAAACGTTCTTGAGCGGGTAACATTTATTCATTCATTTATAAAAAAAATAATAATTACTATGCGTTAGATTTAGATGAATGTGTTAGATTTAGCAAAAAATTACATTTATCATTTTTTACATTTTTTGTAGATGTTCAAACGTCTCTTTAGTTGCCGCGTTAGTTGAAGAACAATTCTTTTTGGAGTAAAGTTTTGGCCAGTTAAGAGAATTTGTTGTAGCTACTTATTTGTTATAAAAAAATAATTAAACATCATTCCGTTATGGTTTTGTAGATAAATTTTGCAAATATATTTTGTAGATTTCGGTCAGAACGATTGATCAAAGTTTTATGATGGATGTAAATAAAAAATTTCGCGTGACACTCCATACTTTCAATAAGGTCATCATTCTATACATTGAACGTAGCCAATTAAGTAAACCTATTGTGCATAATTGAAAATGTTTTCTAAAACAAACATAAAGATTAACATATAAATATATAAATGATTAACTATTAATAAAATGAACGAATGAGTGAAACAATGTAACCCAAATTTAATTGATCAAAAGACCAACTTGTTCATAATCATCACTGAAAATCTTTCAAACTTGACAACACGAGAGCTGTGCTAATCAATCATTTATGGAACAAAGAGGCTTTTGATCATTTGAAAGTCACATAGATCTACAGATCTATGTAAATATTTGATAGTTAAGTAAGCCTGTCAGATCTTCTATATAAGAACCTAAATGTTTTAAATATTTATAATCATTCGGCGTTCATCTGTTTATAGACTAATATTACTTTACCCAAAAAATAATTATTAACTTAATTTATAATATAAACAAAAATAAAAATAAAAAATAAATTAAATATTATAACACTATAACAAAATTGTAAGTACTAAATAATGGACAACCAAAACAACGACAGCAACATCAACAACGTTGGGGACGTAAACAATAATGATAATGTGAAAAACAATAATGAGATAATCAATAAAAACTGTGATGGCGGACTTGAAGAGGATGACGTCACTCAAAACAATTACCTTCTACAAAATTATGACCCTCAGTTTAAGAAACCTGTCGGACTCGTAATAATCAAAAAAGGCAACGATTAAAAAACTTAAGAAGTACAAGGTCAATACGAGTGAAGCAGGACTTTTCGTGCAAGTGATGTTAAAACGAACTGCAAGAAAGTGCAACAGTTGGGTCATGCATTACGACATTGAGGTTGATACTATCTTGATACCAGTAGACCAACATGCCACAAAAAACAAAAAAGATCATCTTTAAAAAGATCAATTTTATCTGTTAATCGCTCCTAAGTTGTCAAAACTTGTGACAAATTGTTTTTGCTCCACTTAAAACGATGTAAATATTAATGTATAAAACAGTGACAATTACATTACTAGATCATATCTTAGAAAATCATAATTTTGATCCAATGCTCTTACTTTGTTTTTCCATTTTATCATTTTTTTGTGAATATTTTTATTTTTGACGTTTATATAAGCATTTAATAAATTGATAATAAAATAAAATCAGTTATTAAAAACGGTTTTTTGCATTATTTGGCAAGTCAACTATAAAGCTTTAAAGATGAGCGAAATGTGTGTACGTTGAATAATTTAAAAAATAAGATGAAGCGCGGTTTGACAAATAAAGGACAGCTGGAATGTTGGTTTATGATTATTATTCGAACAAGCACAGCATCAAATTGACCAGGGAGAATTTGGTTGAACTGGTCCAAATAAAGAAACTCCAACACGACAACTTGATCATTTTCATAGGCGCAAGTTCAGATGACAATATAATTTGTTAGGCAACTAGGCAAACAGATTATGTGAGGCAACTGCATCAAAATAAAGCCCAAGTCCAGATTTTGTATTTTCTCTCTAGATGATCATTTAGCTCCGATTCTCGTGGCATCAAATATCTCGAAGTGGTTTTGCCAAAGTCTAGTTTTTGTATCTTCTCTGAAGATGATCATTTAGCTCCGATTCTCGTGGATCCAAATATCTCGAATTGGTTTTGCCATAATTACATTGTATGACAGCTATGACTTTGTATAAGCATTGGATAAATCGACAATAAAAAAATCAGTTGTTCAAAACGGTTTTGCATTATTTGGCAAGTCAACTATACAGCTTTTATTATGACCAAAACGAAATGTTAAATGCGATTCTAATCTTAAAGTTGCTTGGAAAAGACATCACTTGCATTTGATTTGAACTCAAATTTAAGTATAAAAAGTAATTAAAAAATTAACTAATTTGAAATTGTCTTTAAAAGTGTTATTGGAATGAAAAAAAACGAACCATTCAAAAACGAGAAAACTTATTGTATAAAGTAAAGATGTAACACTAAAACAAAGTAAAAAAATTATGTAAGGCAACTGCATCAAAATAATGCCCGGGTCCAGGTTTTGAATCCTCTCTCAAGGTGATCATTTTGCTCCGGATTCTCGTGGCTCCAAATATCTCGAATTGGTCTTGCATTAATTTCTTTGTTAGTATTTCCATTTTTTTTGTTTGCCATTGTGAAATGATTGAAAGAAATTTCACATTTAAATAAAATATCGCTTTTCTTTCTTGAATCCTCATATGAACTGCTTTCAATTAACTTCGCAAGACTTCTGCTAACATTTTCAATATTGAGTTCCAGCAGTTTTTCACTTTCCGATGAAACACCGATAGACCAATTTGTGCAAACATCATTATCCAAGTTTCTACTGTTTTCAATCAGCTTGCTGCTACAATTGTTAACATCTTTCAGATTTCTACTCCGCTTTGGAGCATTTGCACCACCATCTTCCAGGTTATTGCTCTGCGTTGAAACCCTCATGTCTTCATTACGTTCAACTGAAGTGAAGTGTTTTCTTTTATGAGCTTTTTTAGAGTTACCATCAATTTTACAATTGATTTTCATGTCTGGAATTGAATCCCAATTTAGCTTCTTTAATACTGTCGGAGGAAATTTATAAATAAGTAAATTGCAATCACCGGTGGTCAGAACGATCATTCCTTTGGAGGTCACCGCCTCACTGTAACATTTTTTAATGCGTTCTGTTGATTGCATTACCGCCAATATCGTGTCACCCCCCCTGTTGAAAATTGTTACATTAAAGCCCATGTGATTGTCGGCTACAATAACCTCGTCATTTCTTCCTATTCTTACAAAAATTGGAAAATTTATGATGAATCTTTTTCCAATCGTTCGCAAATTTCTTCCTTCATAATTGAACACCTGAAAGGTAAAAATTGGTTATGAAAATATAAAAATGTTTCTATTTCATTCACTTATTAAATGTTTAGTGGAGTAGTAGGATCAAAGTGTGTTAAAAAATAAATTTTACCTCTATGCAGTGTTTTTTATTGTCGCAGATAAAGAGCTCTTCGTGTTGATTGACATCAATATTGAAAGGAAGAAGAACGTCCCGACAGTAGACAGTTTTCAAAAGTACTCCCATCTCATCGTATATGTAGATTGTTTTCAACATGCTATCCAGAAGTATTATGTTGAGGTTTCGGTCCACGCAGACATCATGCGGATTATTTGTATGGTACGAGAACGATGTAACTTTGCTGAAATCCGCCGTTATTATCTTGATCTAAAAAATTGTTATGTACCATTAGAATTTTAATCAAATATTTTAATATTAATTGAAGTTATTTAAAAACTTTTAAAATTACTTTAACTTACTTTTCTGATTGGAGGTCTTTCGACCATAACCAGCCTTCTCGTCTGCTGGCACTGGTACATATGACCAGGAAAACGCAATCCATTGTCCAGTAGATAGCCAGAACTTATCCGCTCACCACAAAAATCAAAAATGGTTAACTTATGTTTCGTATTTTCTGTGAAAATAATTTGATCTTCAGCGTTTTTACATAGATTGTTTAGGCCGTGAAGCAAATTACCAACAGATTGCGTGAGAGTAAGATGTTCACGTTTCAAGGAATTTATAGAAAATTGGCCAGATATGCTCGAAAATGTCGAGCTATCATCTTCCATGTTGCTATTAAAGAACCAATTTGTATAACGTTGTCTCGAAGCAAGGCTATCTAGGTCATTGTTCTGCACTGAATTAATTTTCTTAAACTTAAATTGTGGCACAGTAGTTACTTGCAAGCCATTATTAATGTTTCTAGAATTCAAGTTATCATCTTCAGGGCTTCCATCTTTGGCAGTCCAACGATTGCTCAACATTCCTAATGATTTTGTATAATTTGATGAAAAATCTGTCATTTTTAATATCTTTTTAAATTGAAGATAATTAATCGCTGAATAATGGCACAATATGTCTATCTCAGCTGGCTGGCGAGAATGAATCTGCAAAAAATTGTGATGGTTCAGCCTCATCGCCATCGCTTTATATACAAAAAAATTTACAACGGATTGCTTTGAAATAAATTACCCTACTTGATGCTATACACTCTTCTTGTGTAAAAGTTAGCAAAGTTAATTTTTTTAACACAGAGATAATTCACTTTATAAATACAAAGAGCAAATGATGTTTATCGAAATTGTAAACGGTAATTGTTAAATGTAATTGTAAATTCATAGTTAATTTGATGGTAGTAGTCCACATAAAGAGAAGATTTTTTATTAGATTCAGAAAGTTAATTGTTTATTCTAAAAGCAAATTCTAACTAAATAAAAAAACTTTTATTACAAATATTTTTACATAAAAATTTACCATTTGATGTGTTTTAGTTAAAATGCATTCACTTAGGATATTTTTGATTTAAATTGAATAAATTTCATTAGTCGGCATAATGGATTTTTTAAATGTTTTCAATTTTTTTGTATTTATCTATTTTGTTTCAAATTTTTTCACCCTAGTAACAACTGCATCGTTTGACGAGTATGAGTAAAAATATAAATTTCTGTATGGAAATCAGGGCAAAATGTGTAATGAACAGAAAAGAAGCAATCTTGAGCACTTTTCTCAATGTTCCCATTATCAAAGTCTATCCAATTCATCCCGTTGTTTTTTGCACTGGCAGTTTATTTCGTCTTTATTGTTTTTGCAGCATTCGTCTTTTACATCATTCGGTAAGATGAGGTTTTCAAAAAATATATTTCATCACTTTTGTTGATATTGTCAAAATTTTTTAAATTTGCAACTTTTACAAAATTGCAGAAATCCTAATAACTTGTCTTTCTTGGTTACAAATGAACTGGTTTTGTCATGTAAGCTGTAAAAATATTTCAGCGTGAGCAGATATCTGTGTTAAACGTAATTGAACATAAATAAATATTAATTTAATTTTTTATATGGAAATCAAGATACAAATGTGAAATGTATAGATTTGATGCAACATTGAACACTTTTCGCTCACTTTTTTAATAAAAAATCATAAATTTATAAATTAACAAAATTAAACTCTCTAATTACAAAATATGTAGTTTCATTCTTTCAAGAGTTTTTTGCGGCAAGTTGGCTCTGACACAAGCTAGCACGCACTTCAGCATGCGCAACAGAAATAAACACAATTTGCCTGTTTGTGTACATATTCTATGGTATATATTTACGAGAATTGGAATATGATATCATTTTATGTCAGCAATATTGCGGCACCAGAGTATATTTTCTTGGAATAAATAGTATCACGGAAACATTCCAGTCCCACCAAATAGTACACATGCTATTTCTTGCTTATTTCATCATTGGACTTGAATTTATTATTTTGGAAAAAATCGGATCATTTCTTTTATAAATTGAATCATTCATCACAGTAATTTTCACGGAAAACCTTATCGATAATTATTTCGTTATTATTTTTTTTTCAGCAAAGTTAATTAAGTGAAATATGTTGACACCGTTCAAATCTCTGCAAAAGTTCTATTACATTTACCATTAATTGAATTATTTTTCAATTATGCATCATTTAAAAAATTCTTGAAAATGCATCTCGTGTTTAAATCACTCAGCATATCAAACCCCATAACATTCTTATGCCTTTTTAATATTCATTCTGCATTATCGTCATCTTTATCGTCGGACAATGACAACCTCATCATTGGCGTAACTATTAGCAGAATGAACTATGACTTGGTCGAGAAAGCGATGGCCAGTGGCTACGACAGAGCGCTGAAGCGCAACATCTACCGGGGAAATTATTCGTTAGTGCTACATTCGCACACACAACACTATTTTTATAGTAAATGTTTCAAAACTTTTCAATTTTTTCAAGTTAAATTTTTCAATGGCAATATTTTTTAGTTTATAAATATATAATTGGTTTCTAGATTAATATTACGCGTAGTGAATACGTGCAATGGAATGATTGGCCTGAGTGAAGGAATGCACCTCATCCTCAAACACGCCGTTCACGTCATTTTTGGAGCTTTCTGTTCTCCAAGTAAGTTCACTCAAGTTAATCGCTTCTGGATACTTTGTTTAAACTTATGACTTAAATTAGATTTCATCATTTTTCAAATTATTGAATTATTAATTTATTTTCAATATGCCACGTCACAATCTACTGAGTTTTGGGTTAGGTATAAAGATTAAGCTTTATCTTTATAACTATTAATTTTATTAACCTCATCCCAACCTAATCAGATTGTGTGGCAACAGCTCAAGTAACTAATTACTGGAACATTTCTTATTTTCCACTCAACTGCTTCGACTCGAGCCTGGACAACTCTTCAGTTTACAAGACCACTCTTCGATATTTTGGCTCTCTATCAGCGTTTGGTTCGTCATTTGTAGAATATTTCAGACGTTATCAATGGAATAACGTGGCCATCATGAGCGAGATTGGAACAGATTTCTGCACTTCGGGTGCCAGTGCAATTCAGCGACATTTGAAAGACAACTTGCTGACGATAGCTGAGGTGGTGCATGTACCTTCACTCTTTGACTCTTTGGATATCATGCTCTTCAATAAAATCCGCATCTCCGCTCGAAGTATTTACGCTGAATGTCAATGCCGTTGCGATTTGTATTTACTGTCATAAATGTTTTTATATTGTATGATAAGTTGATAATGACTGTCGTTTGTCACAAAAAAAACTAAACAATATGATTAATTTTATACCATTTATAAGTATCCAATAAAACGGACGTGTTTTCAAAAACTATTACCTTTATTTTTGTTAATTCATACGTAGCACGTACGCAATATATTCAATTTCTAACGCTTTCCACAATCCACAATTTCTTCTAGTTATCATTTTGTGTCACTCCAACTACACCGCTTTGCAACGGATCATGTTTCAAGCGCAAGATCTTGGAATGACCAATCCCAGTCAATATGCTTGGATAACTTTCTTCAATATTTACACCAGTTAGGAATATGGGAAAAATTTGTAACTGTTTAATAAACTTTTCTTTCAAGAATTTCAAAAATAATATTTGGCTTTTTAAATTTGAAAATGTTTTTCCTATAAAGTGCTAACCTCTTTGATTTGTACTTTACCAAAGTTTTGTCAGTCTATCATAATAGAAAATGTTATTTAAAAGCAATCAAAACGTGCTTACGCTAAAAGGTATTTCAGCCAATCCAACAAACAAATTTTTTTTCATTTTCAGTTGCCTCGGCGTCAGCTCTTCCAGAATTTTCATTCAATGTTCTGCTCTACCCCTGGCTGTCTGCCAGAGCAACTCCAATGGATGAATACAGGAAACAAGCTTTTCTCTGTCTCAAAATAGTTAGTTGTTGGAATTATCTGGATTATAAAAAATTTAGTCACAGATTGACACGTGTAATGACGTTCTTTTGAAAAAATATTAAAACGTTATGTCTTTTGTTTTGTTAGGTTTATTGCGACAAAAAATGCAAATCTAAAGTGACAGTTTCCACAGCATAAATTTTGTATTATTTTCATTACTAAATAATAACTGATTTTCTTTGACGTTGATTCACAACATTCCGGTTCAGTTGATAGTAATGAGGGGAAAATAATGTATTATTTGTAACGTTCACTTTGAAGTTTAATAACTCGGCTCGATTTTATTAATCAAAAATAAGAACCATTACAATCAGCACATTGTTGCTTACGAGTAAATTAGTAACAAAATCATCCATTATACGTGCAGATTACTTACAGAAACTCTACACAAATTCCTGATCCAAGAGTTGATGCCAATAACATACGATTCACCCTCGCCGTAAGTCAGCTGCAATTTAGTTAATTAATAATAAAATTTAATTAATCAAAATAACAATTTATTTAAATAATTTATTTATATTAAAATGATGCACTTATGATAAAGCCTGAGACGTTGTTCTAATCAATTTTATGGTCATTTTTTCATTTCCACAGCAATCGTTCGGGGACATATTTTATGTGTACTTGACCTTGAGGAATTTAACTATAATGTCTGGAAAAGACCCAAACGATGGTTTCAACATTCTGAATACTTCAAGAACGGCGGAAATAATTGGTTGGTTGGCATTTGTTGAAAAAAATACGTTAACAAATGCACAAATCTTTAAAATAACCATAATAATTACAATTTCGATTACAGTGTTTTGATCGACTTTATTTAAAGCAAACAAAATAAGGATGAAAAAATGTAAAGAAATTAAAGTAGATGAGTTAATAAATTATTTAGGCAAGCCGGTAGGTTTCAAGTAAATGTTTGACACCATCGCTGTTTTTTTAGACAAGAAGCACTTCATTAAAAACTGCCTAATCTCTTGACTGGCAGGCTCCCAGGAAGTGTCATAAACACAAGAACATCATTAGAGTTCCGTGAAATGTTTGTTACTTAATTATTACCAAACACAGACGAAGACGAGAAAATAAGATTCAATATGGATGGCGACAGACTGATGAGCTTCTACGTTTGGTCTCTGGCAGCCAACGCCACAACATACCGGCCCTACATGGAAATCAACCCGATTGATGTCAATAACTACTCGGTTGGTTCATTAAATATTTCAATGACTGGGTGAGGCATTCATTATTTGTTAGTTTTCGAGAAGACACCTTTATCGTTATGTATGAGAAGAATGTATGCAAACAAATAAAATAAATAAATTTGCACAAATTTAAAGATGCAAGTTACAAATAGTGGTTAGAAATTATATATTAAACTTCAAAACATTTTTTGCAATCATGTTTACATACGCGCCATAATTAAAACACTGCCATCCAATTAATTTTGTACTGTGAGGACATTCATTCACGTAGCACCTACAGTATACGTTGTCATTTTTTTTAAAAAATCTAAAAGCTTTCATACTTACGTTAATTGTTACATTAAAATCTTTGCAATCATTATTTTCAAGCCTCGCTTCCGTCAAGTTGTATTCTTATAATTGCTCGTGATTCATAATGACTTCCAAGGAAGGATTTATGTAAAAGCTAAAACCAATCTTACTTCTATCTAGTTGATGGCACTCTTTAATTTATCTCATCGCTATTTCTACTTTCATGTTAATTATTTTCTATTTAGTTCAAACGTTCAAGTTCATTTATACCTCTATGTCCTTCTATTTATCGGAATACCCTTTGATTATTTTTAAATTTATATTTCATTTTAATAAAAATTATTTTAAAATTTTTTAAAATTCACGAACATGTCTTTAATGTTGAATAAAAATTGTAATGACAGTTCCAATCAAGTTGTCGCTATTCAGGCAAATTATATACAATATCATTTTACTTGAGTTTTTTGCAATTTGTTTTGTAACTTGAATGTGCTTATTAGATTATGCAGGTGTGAACACGAGTTTTTCTAATAAATCATAAACCACTCTGATTTAAAATATAATATACTACAATTACGTTAAATCTGTTAAATAATTATTAGTTTATTACCTTTTTTTAAATTTTGCAACCAAAGCCTTACACTCCGATGTGTATGGAGCAATATAATGGAATGGACTCATAAGTTAAAACTTGCGCCCATATTTTTTGTTATTTTATGCCCGATGGTGTAATGGCTAAGATGTTTGGCATTGCTGATGCAGTAACTGGATTTGAACGCAAGGAGATCTTTTCATAGCTCATGCGATGTGTGTGATGAGATGCATAAATTTACGCATATTTAGGCACATGCTTTATGGATTTGTTAGTGATATCCTGAAATATACATACGAAATATTTGTAAATAAATTCTTTAAATTAAATAAATTAAATTAGTATAAAAAAATTAAAGACACACATAATAGGAGATGAAACGTGGGGTACATATAAGGTGCCACCGAAAGACACACCTGATTGTGGGTTCACTAACGAACTCTGCATTCGGAAGTTTGGTTAGGATAATATAATGATCATTTGATGGCTGATTTTTTGTGAGTCATTAAATTTTTGATGTTTGACATTGGAGAGTTTTTATTCTTTTGTAGATTTTTATAAAATGTTTAAAATTTTATCAACTTATTTTGGGAACATTCCAAAAATTTTTAAAAATACTTAAAATTTCTTTAAATAACAAATCTAAAATAATATTTACAAATGAAAAATTTCCACAGACAGTACTTCCTTGCTGATAATTTTTGCAGTTGTCGTCATAGTCGTCATCGCCGTATCGTCTGTTTCTTATGTTTTTTGGTGAGTTAGTCCAACAAAAAACATTTACAGACGCTAGCAAAAATAAAATAAATGTTGAAAAAATTGAGAGTCATTCTTCTCTAGTGCACTTGCTTCAGAAGTATCAAGGTCAAGCACACGCGTGAAAATCCCAAATCAAGCACATTGGACATATTGCTGTGTATACGCATTAAGAAAGCGTTCTCAGTCAAATGTTCTCAACACAGATCATACAGTCTGAAACGTGGAGCAATTTATTCATCACTTTACAAATAAATATTTTTTAAAAAGCTTTTGTATCGATTAAGCTTTATTGTCGAAGTTAGGTTGGCCTGAGATATGACGCCTTTTTTTAAACATTTAATCTACTATTGATCTATTTACGTTAGAGTGAAGGTTTGCAAACTTCTTTAATAGAATAAAAAATAATTAAACGACTAACACTCACAGGTTGACTTTATTTGAAAGGAAAATTTTCAAAATGTCCTGGAAAATCAATTACGATGATCTGCATTTCATTCGGGAGGCGAAAAGTGTGAGTTGACAAAATAAACACATTCAATTTATTGTTATAACCGCTGCTATGGTCAAATTGCGCTAAATTATTTGTTATCTGACTATTTGTTATTTCTGCTATATTTGTAATCATTGAAAAACTAAATATATCTAGTTTGATTGTAAAACTGTGTATAAGGGAATTGAATAACGAATTTAGTAGCGATGTTTGAAAAGAAGTCGTAGATATGACTTATGTAGTTGCTTGGATTAGTTGGGTGTTTCTATTATTGTTGGCATTCCAATATACGTTCAACAAAGTTTACGTTTGAAACAGTTGTGTCCATCTATCGGCAATCTTGAACCTACGGAATAACGAACACTTGACGATCGTTGGAAGCTACAACACTGGTGTTGGAGACATATGGATCATTAAAATTATAATATTGGTGTTGGCAGTAACGGGCGTTAAAGTTTACAACTTTAGTGTCAAAAGTAGGATTTTGGATAGATTGAAATTTTCTGCAATAAAGAATGCCAGCATTAAAAGAACTTGATACAACTAGTCTAAAAAAAGAACTACAAAAACAAAATTTTGATTTGAAAGGATCGAAGGCAGTTTTGATAAACCGCCTAAGAGACGCACTAATAAGCGAAGGTAACGACCCTGAGTTAATGTTGATAATAACAACTATATCAATTTATATATTTTTTTGATGAATGAAAATGATGTTCATAATATATTTTTAAGTCTAGTTTAATCTCGCAAAAAAATTATTCAAGTACATTTGAAATGAATACAAAAACAAAACTTTAGATGAAAAGTCTGTCGAGAGTAAATGATGGTTCTAATTTATCATACGAAGAGGAACAAATCCAAATGTGCAACTTCAAAAGTTTGCACAACGATCACGGCCAGTTGAAAGCTGTCTACAAAGGGATGTTGGTGTCTGTTTGTTACTCAAACATGCACAGCATCAAACTGACCAGAGAGGATTTGGTTGAACTGGTCCAAATGAAAGAGCTCCAACACGACAACTTGCTCCCTTTCTTAGGCGCCTGCTCAGACGATGACAGAATTTGTCACATTGTCCAATATTGTAGTAGAGGTTCTTTGCAGGTAGAATAGATTGTTAAATTGCTTTGTTTGTTGATTAAAAAAATTTTTGCTCTATTTCGTCAAATATTTTGTGCCGATCTAAAAAAAAAAACTTTTGCTCATTATAAACAATTTGAACTGTAACAAAGGATATTCTGAATGATGGCCTCAAGAAACTGGACAGGTCCTTCAAATTATCTTTTGTGATGGACATCGTGAAGGTGGGATGATGAATTTATAATTGAAGTGTTAAAATCTTGTAAATGTTTTAACACATTTAGTTTTATACTTTGTGAAAAACAAAGTTATTTCGAAAAATTTGCATTAATTTAATGTCCTTTAAAAGATTCTCACAATAAAACGTTGAAAATTGTTAACAAGTAGAAACACATGCTACCGTGCCTATTCATTTGTACAGGATTATTATAATTATTTATTTAGGGTATGTCATATTTGCACAAATCATTTGTACTGTATCATGGAAAACTCTGTAGCAACATGTGCATGGTGGATAACAGGTCAGCCTTATGATTAAATTTTTTTAAAATGTTCTTTTATTTTTTTCATGTCTAGCTAAATTGAACGAATGTAGTTATGTATTATTTATCACGAATTTTTTACAACGTTTAAATAGATGGGTGGTCAAAATAACTGGATTTGGCTTGCGTGCCTTTAGAACGCCCACCACAGCAGATGAAACACATGAGGAGTTCTATAAAGAACTTTTGTGGACAGCCCCTGAAATTTTGAGATCGAGCATCAAACATTTGGGAAGTCAGAAAGGGGATGTGTACAGTTTTGGTATCATCTGTCATGAAATTGTCTTTAGGTTGTATCCGTACCAAGAAACTGGTCTGTCCGTTAAAGGTTATATGTGGCTGGTCTGAATATTTATTTTAAAAGGACTTCATCATTAACATCCGTTTAACTGGAACGGAGAAATAAGAATTAAAAACAAACTGTTAATTTATGCAAAATGTGTTATAAAATGTCAAAATAAATTTTAAAATATTATACAAATAAATATGATTTAATTCAATGCTGATGAAATTTAGCAAATAGTTTTCCAAATTTTTCAGTTGGTCATATGAATAGTTGGAACAAATACTTTTTAGAAATAGTGGAGAAAATAATGTTCAGCACTGATATTCCCTACCGACCTTCAATTGTTTTCAACGAGTCGACGAGTGTCATCCCATCAATGTTGGAGTTAATTCAGAAGTGCTGGCATGAGAATCCAGCAGAGAGGCCACCATTTGAACAAGTCAGCAAACTCCTGCTAAAGTTCATTAGCAGGTAGTTGCGTTGTTAATGTATGTGAACAGTAAATACCAATTTTCTGAAATTGGTTTAATAAAAATGAGATCATTCAAAATAATTTCAACAATAAGAAACTTTCACTTCAATATATCAAGAGCAAAACAACTTGAAGAAATGAATTATTTCTTGACAAAAGCAGTCTAACGTTCTAGAGTATTCATAATTACATTAGATTTCAAGAGCATTCATAATTACATTACATTTCAAGAACCAACTCGAACATAGTGGACAGCATGTTGGAAAAACTGGAGAAATACGCCAACGAGCTTGAGAGAATTGTGGAGCAGAGAACAGAAGAACTGGTCGATGAAAAAAGAAAAACTGATTTGTTGTTACACAGCATGCTACCACCGTAAGATGCCCTTTCATTGTACTAACATAAAATTTTTGACTATTCAATTACATTTAATAAAAATCCCCAACCAATCGTTTAAGTAATTGTCTATAACGCTGAGATGCACACGATCATTACGTCTATTGTTAGTTAAGATACGAAAATTATAAATTGTGTATGAGATGAGTGAATAATTTGAATCACTTAAGCTTGTTCCTATAATTTAAATAGGTGGGAAAGAAAGAAGCATATCAACTGACTGTTCTGATAAAGTTATGTTTTGAAAAATAAAATTACAGCGTTATACAAAGAAAAAAAACAATCAAACATTTAACCAGATTTAAAAATTGATATGAAACCTCTGAAAAACGCACGCAACAATTTTTATTTCAGATTTATTGCCGAGGAATTGAAGTCTGGCCGCAAGGTAGAACCAAAAATGTACCAAAACGCCACGGTGTATTTCTCAGACATTGTTGGGTTCACGACGTTGTCATCTCAAAGCACTCCCATGCAAATTGTGGATCTGCTTAATGATCTCTATGGAGCATTTGATGATACCATCTCTAGGCATAATGTCTATAAGGTTTGCTCGTTTATTCCTAGTTTATAAAAAAAATTATCACATTCGTTTATCAAACTAAAAAGATATTTCCATTGAAGGTTGAGACGATAGGAGATGCGTACATGGTTGTGAGTGGTCTGCCTCAGGTAACAGAGCGCCATGTCGTGGAAATATGCAACATGGCATTGGATCTGCTGGGCATCGTCAAGACCTTCAAGATCAGACATCGGCCTGAGATGACACTCATGTTGAGGATTGGCATTCATTCGGGACCTTGTGCTGCCGGTTCGAACGTTTCGCTAACCTCTGAAGGTTGTATGCTAAATGGTCCTAATAATTTCAACAGGAGTGGTCGGTCACACGATGCCTCGCTACTGCTTGTTTGGTGATACGGTCAACACCGCTTCCAGGATGGAATCAACTGGTGAAGGTTGGTGCTACAAAAACTTTAAAAACTTATTTCATGTTTATTTAAAATATGAATAATGATGGTTTGCAAGCGTTTATCATTTTTTTAGTAAGGATATAAACTTTAACGCTAGTAACAGATTAGCAGATATATAGTACAATAACATTTTACGCATCTTTATGATATTGAGAGCATCTGATTGATTTAAAACCGTCAGCCAATTTTTGTAAAAAAAACATTAAAAGCTCTCAAAATTCACCTGAGCACGCCAGCCAGAGATCAACTTCTCCAGTTTCCTGGCTACGTCATCGAGTTGAGAGGTCCCACTGAGTTAAAGGTGATCTGTTTCACAATCTCAAATATCGAAAGATTAAATGTTTTGTTTTTAAATTGATATAAAAAAAACTCCAAAAAATTATAAAAGTTTGTTATTAATTTTTATAAATTAAAAATGATATGTAATATTTTTTAAATATAAACCGGTAAAGAGAACATATTTTGTAGCCTGTCTTGTCTAAGAAGATGTTGTTTTAAATATATTTTATATAGTTTAGATCGATGAAATGGATAATTTTATTTAATCATAAAACTCAGTTTTTTTACTTCGATTTTTATATTTCTCGCTTTGTAGTGGTTACATTTTCAATAAAACCTTTCCACGTCAATGCAGGGTAAAGGGACAATGGTGACTTATTGGCTGGTTAGGAGAAAGGAAGATATTTAAATATTTTGTAGCAATAAAATACTTTCTTTAACTTTTCGAAAATCACATTGAATCTGGATGAATTTAGTAAAGTTTGATGTAAATTTTGGAAACGAATTATTTTTCGAATTGATTATTCTGTGGTTTTTTTCTTTCTTTATTGGTTTTGTTTTGAGTAAAAATGTCTATGTGACATTATTTTAAATGTTGAACTTTCTTTACACCACGATGTTATTTTTACGTTGGCAATGTTATGCCATAATATTCTAACTTTCAATGTCCATTTCATTTCATTTATTTTATTTAATTAAAATAATTGAAATTAACTTAGTTAATTAATTAGAGTGACAAATTAAATTAACTTTCCGAATCAGCATACAAATAATTTTTTGGCTCGATTGTTATAGCTTTTTTTCACTTCAGTTAAATGTTGTTAAGATTAGTCGTTGTTTAACACAGAATAACTTCGTGTAGATGTCTCTTGTAGTAATATTTTTGTTGTTTTTTATTCATACAGCATTTGAAAACATTAAAACGATCAGACGAATTACATATAACCAGCGGTGAATCCTAATGTTCCGCGGTTTAGGGGTGATATGAAAGTTCTAAAGTTCATGACCTTTTTAGCTATTTCGAGTTTACTTTATTACTTCATTTTACATGGAATCATCAGCATTTTCTTTTTTCGTGGTCTGGTGGGAATGCATCTCACCCTGGATCCTCCATTAATATATATTAAATGTAGTACCTACATGAAGTTGTTGAGAAAAGACACTAGCATATAATACGTTAACAACCATGTTCTAGTTTTCATGTAACAATCACATTTACAATCACATTTTCAAGTAGGGCTATGCACCACAGGATTTTTTGATGCAGATAGTTAAATGACGTTTTTTTTTCAAACACTTGGATATGTTAAATACTTTAAATAAATTTTGCATACTCAATTCAAATAGCTTTTTGAGTTTTAAATAAAAAAAAGACATGAAAAGATTGCCTTGTTATTAAGCTTCTCATGGAAAAGTTATCAACAAACATATGAAATAACGAAATAACATTGCAGTGTAAATTCATTTCGATTTTACAAAAGACTTATTATCTAATCTGGAAAAATAATTTCAAAAGTTTGTGATTTATGATGAGAGTGATATTTAAAATTTTAAATGAAAATGGAATGTTATCAATTGAAAATATTATAAAAATTACAACGACTAACTAAGCAATATTGTCTTGGTTATATATTAATCTATATACCAACTGATTTCAAGATATTAAATTCAAAAATTTAAAAATATAGTTTAAACTGTTCCTTAATGAATTATATTATTAATTTTCGTGTGTACTATCCTTCCTCAACAACCAGTAAGTTATCATTGATCCTTTACCCTATGAACAGATTTTAAAATTTTAATTATTTAATATAGGATCTAGACAGTTTTTACACAATTTTACAAAAAAAATTGCATACTAAAAAAACGCCGTAAATTTTAATTTTGAAAAAATAATTAAAAACGAAGTTTTTAATAATAGTTGGTGTAAAAACATTCAAACAAATTCTATTCGCGTTTTTTTTCTCGTCATGTTTGAAATGTTTCATTCAAAAAACTCACCTTCAGCTCAGTGGGACCTCGCATTTCCACAACGTACCCTGGGAATCTAGAGAGCTGATCTCTGGCTGGAGTGCTCAGATGAATTTTCAGGGCTGCATTATTAGAGATTAATGAACAAGAAAATAATTTTAGTTTGGCAATAGTAAAGTTTTCTTCAGTTAATTTAATGAAAAGTGTTACAATATGTTCTTTTGTTGGCATTGATATTGACACTGCACTGACGCACATTGTAAGATTTATAAAAATTGTTTTGTAGAAACATAAAAAAATTTTATCGTTTACAAGAAATGATTTAACAAAAAATTTTTTAAATAATTTGCCATTCATTTCAGTTGAAAAATGAACTAAAATTTTGATACGCTTCCTACTTACAAAGCAATTTGAAGATAAAAAATTTCAACTCATTTGAAATTATCAAGTTAATCACTTTCTAGCCCAAAATATTTATTAGTTTCAATGTATGATCGCATTAATTTCACGACGAGGTTGAACTATAAATATAAACAAAATATTACCGACCTTCACCGGTAGATTCGATCCTCGATGCGGTGTTAACCGTATCTCCGAACAAGCAGTAGCGAGGCATGGTGTGACCAACCACTCCTGGGTTTCAAAAATGTTATGAATGATTACAATTTTCAATTTCAGCAGCTCTTTTTCAAAATGTCAAAACTGTTCATAATTAACGGCAACATTTCTGACAAACCAGCAGCACAAGGTCCCGAATGAATGCCAATCCTCAACATGAGTGTCATCTCAGGCCGATGTCTGATCTTGAAGGTCTTGACGATGCCCAGCAGATCCAATGCCATGTTGCATATTTCCACGACATGGCGCTCTGTTACCTGAGGCAGACCACTTACAACCATGTACGAGTCTCCTATCGTCTCAACCTTATCATCATGGGAACATTAAAATTGCATATACTTTTATTTTTTGGTGAATCTAACAATAAAATCCAAATTCAAAATTAAGATCTATAAATTGTATTAATAGAAGCATCCTTCATACTTTGTAAACGTTATGTTTGGAGATGGTATCATCAAATGCTCCGTAGAGATCATTAAGCAGATCCACAATTTGCATGGGAGTGCTTTCAGATGACAATGTCGGAAATCCAACAATGTCTGAAAAATACACTGTGGCACTCTGGTACATCTTGGGTTCAACCTTGCGACCTGCCTTCAACTCCTCTGCTATGAAACTAGTTAATAAATAAATATTTAACAAATAAAGCAGAACGTTGATAAACAAATAATTATTTTTCAAATCAATAACATTATATTTTCAACAAAATTTCAACGATTTTTCTAGAAATTAAACGACTCTTCACCTTGGATAATATCTTAACGCCCATCCTAACGACCTAATTGTCCAAATTAGTCGCCGTTTGACGAACTAAAATAAACTTAAGAATGTTTTTCTAATGAATTTAATGGGATTTAATTATTTTTGCTATAAAACTTCTGTTATCACACATCTTCTATATATCCATACGTTGTCTTGTTTTGGTGTCATGCTAGAAATGGCTTTTCCACCTACTGAGCTAATTCTTTCAGTGACCATACTTGTATGTTTCAAATAATTTTTAATCAATATTTATTTCAAACCTTAAATCAAAAACTTTACTAACGGTGGCAACATGCTGTTCAGCAACAAATCTGTCTTCTTCTTCTCCTCAATCACTTCCTGTGTTCTCTGCTTCACGATCATCTCCAAGTTGTTTGCGTACTTCTCCAACTTCTTCAGCATGCTGTCCACTATGCTCTCAGTTCTGAAATTGAAATTATACAAACTTGAAAAAATGAAACAATTTTATCAAAATTTTTGAATTATAAAATTGAAATTGGGAAAAAATAACAAACTTTCCAGAGTAAAACTTCTTCAGCGTCTTCTCGATGACATCGAACGTTGGACGAACATTTGCATCTTCGGACCAGCACTGAGCCACGAGATTCAAGATTGCAGGGTTGGCGTCAGGGTCGTTCAGTGGCGACAGGTGTGGTCGGAATGGTTCAATACGCAGGTCAAGTATGCGCATTATTATGTCTGTTTAATATTTTATGATGGCTCTGGTACCTAAAATAGTTAGATCCGTTGGGGAATCAGTTAGAACAAAAATCTTTTATTAATTTGAAAACTGCGCAAAATTATTGTATCGCTACCTTTGTACTCCAATCTAATTGAATCGTATGGAAAGCATTTGTACAGTACTTCATAAGCTATGATGGCAAAACTGTACACATCACCTTTCTGACTTGCAACTACATTTAATAATAAATAGATTGTATAAAATGAGATTTTTTTAACTTCAGCAAAATATTGGATGCAACAGCAACTATTCTAAAAATTATTGTAACGGTAAAATTATTATAACTAACATGAGATGGAAGACATCAAGTGCTCTGGAGCGGTCCACAACAAATTTTTGTAAAAATTAGCTCCAGGTTTATCTTCCCTTAACACCAATTTGAAGGTTGACAGTCCAAAATCGGTAATTTTGAGAACCCACCTTATCCATGTAACGATATATTGTTCAATAAAGCGACTTCGAAATTTTTTGTTAACGATTACTTAATATATTAAACACTATGACAAAACATGAAATTAAAGTTTTTTTTAATTTTTTAGATATTAACTTATTTGTATAATAAAATTCAGGGATTTTTTATATTTCTGATTCCCATCAACTATGTGAATGCTTTAAACTGAGTGAAACAAAAACAAAATAATTCAATAAGTTGATCATAAAACAGTATTCAGAATAATCTGGACTGAAATAATTTTTCAATTAAGTTAATTTCTTTCCGGAAATAAATAAACGAAATAAAAAGTGTTCCAAATAGGGGCAGAGTCAATTTTTTCAATTTGTCCCTAAATAAAACTAATAAAGTCAGAAAATAAAAGGAGCAAGTTTTTTAAATAAAGAAAACTAGTAATTGTTTTTCTGTATATAAAAAAGCAACATTTTAGTTGATTTCTTCATTGAAGAATTTTAAACAAGTTTAGCGTAAACTGACTGACCTGCTATCGATGAGACAGGCGTTGCTGGTTAACTTTCCATGAAGCCCTATGAAAGATTTGTGTAGGTAGTTCATTCCCTGGTGAAATAACAACAAATTTTTTGACGACAATTCAGTATTCATCTTGACTTATTTCCATAAAATAATTTATTTCAGTTACTCTTTATAAAAGTTTTTCATTAGCGGATAAATCAAATCTTCATTGTTGGCGTGTTGTTCTTTATGATATTAGGTAAGATAGACCTAAATGCAGAAAACAATGATCGAAACCAGGTTCCTTAAACTTTTATACTAAATTGTTGTCTATTGTTAAACAATCGAAAGAGCCAAGTTCTCTTTAACTAGCATAGTAATATTTTATCGGGTTCGAGCGAGACCTCTAGTGACCATAATGTGATGTGTTGTCTCTTATGTACGCTGGGCATATTTCAGTGTCAAAATTAGAGAGCTGATATAACCAAATCTACAACTCAAACTAGAAAAACGACTTAAAAACACAATTTGAGAATTATACAAACTCTGCTGATGTCAGTAAGAAATGATATTTTGATGGTCCAATCAACAGATGTCTGAGCATCTGCCAGCATATCCTTCCATTGTTTATGACGATTATTTTCATGAAAATGGTAACAGTGATGGAAACGATTAAATATTTTTAATGAGTAACAATTGATAAAATCTGAGATATTTTTCATCTGACATCGACAGGCTAGATATAAAGCAGTCACGTTATTGCTGATGACCAAACGCTTTAATCCACAGAAACGATACGTTGCAGTGATTGTTTATCGATATTTTTGACAATGCTTGGTTGTTGGTTTTTCAGTAAAAGATTTGTCGTAAAGTTAGTTCAATTTTTATATTAAAATTTAACAATTAGCTTTTTTATAATTTCCGTGTTCTTAAAAACTTTTTACTAATATATGTACAACAACTTCATGCGTTATTACCGATAATTTGAAAAAATAAATTATTCTTTGTAAACAAATGGTATTAAAAGGCAAAAACATTATTAACGAATGTACATCATAAAATAAATTTCTTGAATATCGTGATAAAAATTAATGTGAATAATGAGTTTTTCCTAATTGTAAAAATTCTTGTCGCAACCTGCAGAGTGCCTCTGGCACAGTACTGTGTGAGGTAGCATACCCTGTCGGGTTCGACACAGGCCCCCATGAAGTACACGATGTTGTCGTGTTGCAGCTCCTTCATCTGATGAAATATTCGGTGCCTCATTTGTTTATATGCATACGTTATGATTTGTAAATGTTATATTGTAAAAATACGTACGCTATATATTTATTTATTTATTGTAACAATTTTTGCTCTTTATATTTTAGAGGTGACAAGCAGTATCGAGACGTTACTCATCAATATATTCGATACAAAAGTTTACAAAAATAATTCACTAGATACTAAAACTTGTTAAAACAATTTCAGAGTTATGAAACAGAAAATGCTCACTTTCACAAGTTCGACAAGATCCTTCCTGGATAAAGTGAGTTCCCTCTTGCCCGAATAATTAACGGTGACAACTTCCCCCTTGTAGATGCCGATTATGACTCCATCCGTCAGTCCGTCATCAAATTCTCTGAATGAAATCGGAGTTAAGTTTTCTTCTGATTCGTTCAAGTTTGAGGACTTCGAAACACTTTTTAACTGCATATTTTTAATGTGTTTACCGAATTGTTAGCGGTATTGCAAAATACGTTCGACAAAACATTGTACCAATTTTTTTTTTCAAATTTTGAAAAATAACAAATAGAAGAAACTCATAAAATCATATAATGATAATGCAAGGCGATGTGTTTAAGAATTGTAGACTGAGATCCGAAAATGTTATAATTATGGTCATGATTTTATTATTGTTGCTATTTTTATTACTATAAATAATATTATTATTATTAATATATTATTTTGTTTCACTGAAATTATTTATTCGAATTGAATAACTAATCCTTACACTCTTGGCTTTCTTGATAAATTGTAAATCGCCGTATCTTATCTTCCACGTCATGCTCAGAACCTTCTGCTCGTTCACTCGAGACCTTCGTCAATTTGATAATTTATATTGTGAAATTTTCATTTTCATTCATTATTTCACCTAAACTAATAAAAACAGTTTAACAGTTTAATTAACAATCTTTTTTTTCAAACGGTTAAACCAAAGAAAAAGTTGACAGTTGGCTACATGGTTAGAGAAAATATGTTGGCACATATTTATTTATAAATTAATGCTTCAAACTCTATCGCGCCAACGTGTCACGACAAAAGACAAATTGTTTACCAGAAAATAAATTACTACATTTGATTAATTTAAACCTCAGATTGCTGGCTACGTCAGAACTTGGTTAGGAGGACGCCTGTCATGACAGATGACAGAACGCAAGAACACAAAAAAGTAGGAGAAACACAATTTCGTCTTACGATTCGAGAAAGAAGTTTAATTTTTAAATAATAAGATCAAAAAAAAATTTTAAAAGAATGTGAACATTCGGAAGAAACTCAAAGACAATTTTGATGAAATTAACAAAATAGAAAACGCACCTGATAATCAAGGAGATGGTCAGTATCAATATGACTAATACGAAAGTGACGGCTAAGGCGATGATGAGAGTTTTGTTAGCCGCTGGAAAAAATTTTATGAGTTTTTAGATTAAATTCATTCAAATTTATTGCTAATCTAATTATTTTTAGTTTATTGAATTAAATCGGTTGGAATCGCAAGGATTGTTTGCAATGCAAGGCAAACACTATTAATATTAATGCAACTATGTAAACTGACTGCTGGCTGAGAGCAGTTTCAACAATAATATTTTTCAAATGTTGATTTTGCTTATTGTTATATATCCTAATCGAACAATCACAATTGTTCTGAAATCAAGTGTGATCCGAGCAAAGTTTTAACATTCTGTTTCGTGGACATTAACGAGAGTTTATATATTACATTGAACTTACAAACAAAACTGAAAAAAAACAAAGAGTTACACATATTTTAGAAAAAAAAACACTAAAAACCATCCTGGCAGAGTTTGTTATCGTAGCCACACTTTGGTCTGTCGAGGGGTGGTTTGTCGGAATGGCCCCACCACTCTTCGTCCACCTGGTAGTCCTACAAATATTGAAATTTCATCTCGAGACTGAAACTGTAGAAGTTTGGAGATCAAAAGTTAAAACTTGGATAATTTTGAATATTCAAATCATTTCAAGTTTGAGTTTGAAACAAAATAAACAAATTTGAAGCAAAATAAACCAAATTATAGCCCAACCAAAAAAATTCCAGGATGTCTATAATAAAAAATGTTAAATAATTTTTGCCTATCAGTCAATTTTAAACAAAACACAAATAGTACGCTGACAAAGTAGTTTACATTTAAAACCAAATAAAAATGTAGACATTTAAAAAGAAATCAACAAAAAAATTACAATCTAAAACATCGGTGCACTGCTTTCTAGAAAAAAATCACTCCTCACCGTGTAGTTCTGAATGGTGTAGTTAATGATGAGATAGTTACTAAAAGTTTGGGATTCCGGTGCCAGAGACCAAACCGCAAAAGGTATGAACCTGTCACCCTCCTGGTTGATTGAGATGTTCTCTGTTTTGCCTATAAAATCAAAATGAATTCGTAAATTGTGGTTTATAATGATAGTTTCCACTTACTGAATTTATTTAAAACATATAAACTTTTACTTTTTTTAATCTATGAATTGGTAAGCCAAAAATTCCTTGTGGATAAAATTTTTAAGATGTTTAAGGAAAACAAGTCAAACAAACGAAAAATAATTTTTCATTAATTTTCAAGATAAATAAAATCAAGAACTGTAAAATCTCCAACAAAAAAAAATTTTATAGATGATTACCACCACAAATAACAAATAATCAACCATGGATAAAGCACGGAAGCATAAAAGTTGAACCCGAATAAATAATTGATCAACCTATGACTGTCCTTCCACGACTTAAATTTAGGAGAATTTTCCCGCTGAGGTTTTCTTGACGTTGACGATTGGCCTCATCGGTCAGTTTGAAGAACAGGTAGATGGCATCTGTCAGAAAGCTCTGAAAACAAACAAAACACTAAATTAACAACTTCAAACTAAAAAAACACGGTTAATATTAACAAAATGTAACGCGCAATGTCGTCAGTGAAGATCATCATTACTGTTTTTTATATTTATCCGCTTGTAAACATTATTTAAATTAGAGTACCAACAAATGTTTTTAAAACGTGTGAATGTTTAATATTGAACTTTGAGCATTGATGCCGATGTAACATTCAGATTCTGATCTGGGCCGGGGTCGGGAAGTCGAGTGAAGTTCTTGGAGGTTATCTGGTTCAACAACAATCGTTAGCTAAAAATATTTCTGAATGGTTTTGTGCTATATATCGATGTTATTAATGAGCGTAAAAATATTCAAATGATCAACTTCCCAAGTTGTCTTTAAACAATTTCATGCACACGCGCAATGACCTAATGAACCTTGTCGAGAGAGTTTTGAGAAAACCACAGAGCGTTCTCGTTGTGCCAAGCTTGAAAGCACGTGTGTGTATGAAGTTGAATGTTGTTAACATCATTGCCGCGCACTTCATTTGCAAGTTAGACATTAAAAATTAAAAAAAGGCAAAAAAAATTATTATACATCACCAACAACACTATCTTCTCCGTCACAGCTGTAGAAAGAAATTTTTCTTTATTGCCGTTAACATTACTTACGCGGACAATGTATTTACCGAGCACTAAGACTCAGACAAACTTTTTATTATTCAACACAAACTGTTTTGCTGCTGTTATAAAGAACAATTTTCATTGAATTTTGAAAAATTATTGTTATAACAATCTTTACCGGCATCATTACAGAGAAATTCATCACCATCTTCAGCATAGCTACTAACGGCCTTAACGGAAAGAAAAGCTTTTTTTAACTCGGCCTTCTGCACATCATCCTTGCCTGCCAGCCATGGGACGAAGAGCGTGCTGAAGTTGAAGCTGGAGTAGATGTTATAGAGGGTGATCCAGGCGTATTCCTTCGGGTTGGTCATACCTCGCAAGTGTGCCGCGTAGATGATACTCAACATGGTGCTCGGATTGGTGTGGCAGATGACGATTACTAAGGGATGGTGTGGCGGGTGAAGTGCGTATTGTGAATTTAGTATATTGATTGGCCTTGTCAAAAAAATTTCGTGCATATTAAATCAATCACTTCTTTTAAAATACGAATTAATAAATAATATAAAGTTCTTTAAAATTTATGAAAGAAAAAAAAATTTCAATAAGGTTTAAAAAGATTAAAAAGTCAATCTCTCTTGTGCACTTGTTTCAGAGGTATCAACGACAAATACACACAGCGTACATGAATACGCATGAAAACCATGCATCACACGATTACTATTGTCATAGTAAACACAATTGACAACGATAAACTAGATGGTTATTATACAACAAAATATCAAGCCGAGCGATACAAACTTCTGGCAGACAAGTCGATCTTATTTAAGATAGTTTTTATTTCGTCCTCGCCAAGGTTGTTATTCACTTCCAAATATTCACTCAACCTGACGGTATATTTTGTCTTCTTTTTGATTGCATCAACCGCATACTCGCAGAAGTTATTCCCCACTTCGTTCACGATGGCACAACTATCCCAGTTGTTGCGCTTGAAAAAGACAACAAAAGCAAAGCCAAAATTCGTTGGCGATCCGGTTAGGCTCATTACTGTTTTGTAGAGCTGAGATTTATCCAAGATGGGATCAAAACAATCCAGTGGGAAGTAAGGAGCGTCGTAGTAATCGGCTACTTGTGCAGTGGAGATGCAGTCTGATACATGTTTTCAAGTTATTTCATGATACGACACTATTTTATTAATAGATTTTAAATAAATAAAAATGTTCAGTTCAATTTATTGGAAGTGAATTTTTATATAATTAATTTGAATGCAAACTGTCGGAACAGATGGACCCGATGATGATATCGACGTTAAAATTTCTGACGAGATTCAGTGCAGCTCTCGAGCCGCTGATGCCGTCACACACCACCACAGTCTCCGTGTAAAGACTGAATGTCATTTAGACGAAATTTCATTACTAACAATCGATGTGCCGTAAATGCATATTTTGAGGCATTTTTCAAATATCCAAAAACACAATAATTCAGACATTTTAAAACGTTCAGCCTAACCAGCCAATCTAAGCGTTTTTGAATGATAGCGTTAACATTTTTAAAAATAAGAAATCAAATTACAGTCTATCATTGATTAATTTTGCAAATGAGATACGAATAATTTGATAATTTTTAAACCGTTAATCAAAGTTTTAATCCAATTTATCTATATGTATATTCAGTTTTATGCTTTTGAAACTTGGATTCCGGGAAAACAATAAAAAATATTTGAAATTGTGGGTTAAGAAACGGATGCAGAGGATCAGTTTGACTGAAGATAGCAAAAATAAAAAAATTTTGAATTTGACATAAGAAAAAGAGATTTCTAGAACCTTTCAAACTCAGAAAACTTGGATTAGTCAATCATGCGCTGAGAAGAAAATCTACGTCCAAATATAAAATTGAAACTCATGCAGAATGGAAAGAGGAAGGTAGGGGAAGAACTGTTGTATCAATTGATGCTGTAAAAAAAGCCCTACATAAAGAGGAATAACAACGGGGAAATG